AATTCCAGCTACTCGGAAGGCTGAGGCAGGAGAATCGCTTGAGCCCGGGAGGTGGAGGTTGCAGTGAGCTGAGATCTTGCCATTGCACTCCAGTCTGGGTGAGAGTGAGACTCCATCTCAAAAAAAAAACAAAACTGCATAGTGTTTAAATCTTGTTCTGTTATCAATTCAAGTCTAATTTTGTTGTGGTTAGAGAACACATCTTCTGTGATATTCTTTTTAATAGTTGAGGTTTGTTTTGTGGCACTGGATATGGTTTGTCTTGGTAAATATTCTGTGTATATTTGAAAAGAATGTGTATTCTGGTGCTGTTGGATGGAGTGTTCTATAAATGTCAGATCAAGTTGGTTATTAGTTTTGTTCAGGTCGTCTGTATTCTTGCTTATTTTCTGTCTCCTTATTCTATCAATTAGCAAGAGAGGAGTGTTGAAGTCTCCAGCAATAGTTTTGGGTTTGTCTATTTCTTTTCCTAGTGCTATCAATTTGTGCTTCATATATTTGAAACTATGAGGAAAAAACATTATGTATTATAATTTCCCAGGAATTCACCATTTCTATTGTTACTCCTCTCTTTCTGAAGTTCTAAGTTTTTCTCTCTATCTTCTTCCCTTGAAGAACTTCCTATAGGATGTGGAGACAAATTTCATTTTATAATATCTTTATTCTTTATTCTCAAAAGATATTTTTCCTGGATATACAGTTTGGGGTTGACAGTTCTTTTGTTCCAGCACTTTAAAAATGTTGTTCCATGGTCTTCTGGCCTCCATAGTCTGTGGCAAGAGGTATGCAAGTATTCAGTTTACTCGTATGTTATATGCATATACCATTTTTCCAGGCTTCTTTCTTCCTTTCTTCCTTCCTGCCTTCCCTCCTTCCCTCTTTTCTTTCTTTCTTTCTTTCTTTCTTTCTTTCTTTCTTTCTTTCTTTCTTTCTTTCTTTCTTTTTCTTTCTTCTTTCTCTCCTTCCTTCCTTCCTTTTTGGAAACAAGGTCTCTCACTGTCTCACTCAGGCTGGAGAGCAGCGGTGCAATCACAGCTCACTGCAACCTTGATCTCCCAGGTCCAAGTGATCCACCTTAGCCTCCCAAGTAGCTGCAATCACAGGCAAGCACCATCATGCCTAAACTTTGTATTTTTTTCTAGAGACAGGGTCTCACCATGTTGCCCATGCTGGTCTCGAACTCCTGAGTTCAAGCAGTCCTCCCTCCTCGACCTCCCAAAGTGCTTGGATTACAGGCATAAGCCCCCTCACCAGACCATTCAGGCTACTTTCGAGATTTTTTTTTAATCTTTTGTTTCTCAGATAATTGAGTATGATTTATGATTTGATTTGTTTGATCATTGGATTTTTCAGTTTTGTTTTTGCTTATCCCTTTTTTGATTTACTGAGCTTCAGAATTTGTAAATTTAGGTTTTACACCAAATTTATGGCATTTTCAAAATTCTTTTTCTGTACCCATCTTTTTCTTCTCCTTTTGGTACCTCAATGACATGAAGCTTAGACCTTTTGGTTTTGTATCACAGGCTTTGTATAACAGGTTTTGTATCTCTGAGACTTATGTTATTTTTATTTTCTCTTTTGTTCAGTTTGAGAGATTTCTATTCACGTGTTTTCAAATTTGCTGACTCCTCTGTTATTCCACTCTGCCACTGAGCCAATCCAGTGAACATCTTGTTTTGGTTATTGTATTTTAGTTATTTCCTTTTTCCTTCTTCTTTCTTTCAAGTATGTTTGCTTTTACTCCATGAATGTAACAGCTGCTTTACAATCTGACAATTTCAACATCTAGTTAATCTTGGGGTTGGTGTCCGTTGTCTTTTACCTTGAACATTATTGAGATTTTTCTGTTTTTTTAATATCACTTTGGACTGTATCCTAGATATTTTAAGTGTTTGATTATGGCACTCTGGCTCTGTTAAAATCCTCTGTAGTGTGTTGATGTTTTATCATTATTTTAGCAGGCACTCAGCCTAGTTAGTTTTAGACTGCAAGTCCTAACATGCCTTCTGTGGTTTTAATATAAGTTTTGTTTTCAAAGTCATTGCAGGGCTCTTCAGGGAAGCCCATGTGTGCACCACCCAGAAGTCAGTTTTAACTACACAGTAATCATGTTCTCAAAGCTGGTGAGTTCCACACCTGCACACATCAGAGGTGAACCTGGAACTTCCTGCACAGATGTCCCTTCTTATAGCTCTCTCTTCTCTATGATTTCCCTCACACTCTGTAGCCCCCAAGGGCTACTTTTCTGGGTCTTCTGACTGGAAAATCTTAGGTTTTAGCCTATTTGTGCTGCTATATGTGTCTCATGATGAGGGCCGCGTTCAGGGTCCTAGTGAGAGAAGAAAAGAGAAAGAGAAAATAAAAAATTAACATGGATTTCCTAACACTCCTTGAATCACAGGGCTCCCTTTTCCTACTTCCTCTGGTTAGAGAAAATTTGAACGTTTTGGCCACTGCAAAAGAGCAGTCTCAGAATTGGGCTGGGAAAGTAATGAGAAATAAAGAAGGGAATTCTCGCCACTCTTTGTCCTGAAGAGGCCCTCCATCCTAGCTCTTTGTTCAGAAAGTCAGCCTTTCTTTTGAACCTTCTGTTCATACCTGCCACACAGTTCCAGAATTAGGATTGCTCTTGTCTGATCTGGAAACATGGGAGGAAAGCCCCACAAAACTCATAACTTCATCATTCTTCAAGTCTGGACTTCTCCCCATCAGCCTTCTGTTATCTACCTTTTAGTGTCCTTAGTTGCTTTTTATATTCCATGTAGGACTTTGGGTTGTCATAAGAAGGAGAGAAAGGGTGAAGTGTGCCTACTCCATCTTAACTGGGACCAGAAGCCCCTCCCCAGACCCTCGTACTGCCTGGAGTGTGTTCTTTAAGTCTTCACACAGCTGTCAAGAGTGGCTCCCTGGTCTTCCTGACAAAGTCTTCACTGCCCATCCTTCTCGGTCACATGTAGTATCTGAAATTATCCAAATCACTTATTTTTCTTGTGTGTTTGTTCTAAGTTTTCACAGTGTAAGCTCCTTGAGAATGCAGACTCTGTCCACATCGCTAGTCATTGTGTCTGCAGGGCCTAGAGCAGCACACAGTGACTGTTCCTATGTATCTGTGACTGACAAACTGGCTGATAGGAAGGAAGGCTGGATCTGACTGATTGTCAAGATTAACAAACTGGGCAGTAGGACAGGAAGTAAGTGACCACTGGAAAATCTGGTCTCTCAAGAAGGAGAAGTATGTAAAATGAGAAAGGGGAAAAAAATGGATGGAAAATCAGTAGGACTCATTGATTTATGCATGGATAGCAAAGAGATAATCAAGCCTTATAGCCTAGAAAAGAAACCAGGATGTGGAAAGCAGGGGGCAGAGGGCTCTTTGGATATGTGTTTAGATAGTGAGATCGTTGAGATGCATTGACTTTGCTGAGATAGCACCTGCTCCTCAGGGGCTCTGTGACAGCACTTCTGGGAGGGTCAGATGAGTCTTCTAGTGCAGGTGGGATTTAGGAGGAGTCTAAAGGTGAAGGCAGAGAAACAGACATCATTAGGACTTCCAGTCCTTTTAAGCAAAAGTTGTAAAAATTCACCGTAATTCCATCAATCGTCCAAAACCTTTCATGGTAAGGTAGTGATCAGGGATTGGCTGGTTGAGCTTTAGATCCCTCTCCACCCTTGACATTCCGTGATTCTGTAGAGTCCAGTAGACAGTTGGAAAAAGATGGCACAGAGTAGCAGGTGAGGTTATAGTACCAGTGGCACAGACTTATGGGCAAGCAGCATCAAGGCTGTAGTTGGGGACCTCGGAAGAGATGATCTCTCAGAAGAGAGTGGGGAGAGACAGCACAGCCAAGAGCAGGGAGAGTCAGGTGGAGAAGGAAAATTACAATGATGGCAGAATACACTAGCCAGGCACCAGGGTGGGTGTGCACGTGTACTTTACACAGTTTCCTCCACTCCTGATTTGTTCTAGTGTGTGGAAAGATCCAGAGCATCCCAGCCCCTCCAGCCTCAGGCTCTATTGTGCTTTACTGTGGCCTAGTCAGGGACCTGTGAGAACAGGGTCATTTTTATGAGACGGAATCACGCCTGTTACCCAGGCTGGAGTGCAATGGCGCAGTCTCACTGCAATCTCTACCTCCCGGGTTTAAGCGATTCTCCCGCCTCAGTCTCTGTACTAAAAATACAAAAATTAGCACAAGGTCTTTTATTAAGTGTCCAACCTGTGAGTAAATATGACAGAATTTTTATCATTTTTATTTATTTTTATTTTTGACATGGAGTCTCACTCTGTCACCCAGGCTGCAGTGCAGTGATGTGATCACGGCTAACTGCAACTTCCACCTCCTGAGTTTATTAAGCGATGCTCCAGCTTCAGCCTCCTGAGTAGCTGGGATTACAGGTGCATGCTACCTGGCTAATTTTTGTATTTTTAGTAGAGTTGAGTTTCACCATGCTGGCCAGGTTGGTCTTGAACTCCGAGCCTCAAGTCATCCATCTGCGTTGACCTCCCAAAGTGCTGGGATTACAGGTGTGAGCCACTGCACCCGGCCGTATCTTTAAATCCTACAAGCCTCACCTTGGAAAACGAGCTGAGACTGAGAAGCTCCCCCACAGTTTCCTGACCATTTCCTATAGTCTCCATTATCTCCCCAACTTGCAATTCAGAAATAAAAAGTTTTTAGCTGTTTTCCTCCAAAGACATTTAATGTTATATTGTGTTTCCCCCTTCTGAGAACAAATGAGCCCTGTTTGTTTTGTGTGCTGAAAAAAAAGTTGAATATCATTTATCTGAAAATAAACAAGGACTTACAAAATTTAAGGAGACTTCCCTAACATGCAGCTGGAGAAATAAGACTGTATTTTAAGAATTAAGTTAAACCAGATGTGAAATAACAGACTTTAATGGTATCCTTGAAACAAACAGGGGGATAGAAAAACCCCTTGGGAGATTAATGAGCCCATTAAATTTAAACACAGTTATTTATTATTTTTTTTCTTTTAAGACCAAAACAGAAGGTCGCGGACTCAGAACTAGCTTGTGAACAGGCTCATCAGTATCTTGTTACCAAAGCAAAAAACAGATGGTCAGATTTGTCTAAGGTAAGAAAATGATTATTTCCTTAAAAGGAAAGAAAATCTATTTCAATGTTTCAATATCACTGGGATGATCAAGCTGTTCAGATCCAGCTGCTAAGATGGGAAAACAACTCAGTATACCCAACATGGGGACTCCTGCTATTCTTAAAAGACTTTCTCAAACTAAATTCTCACATTCAAGGTCAAGCGATGTTTAGAAAGATAAGTAATTGTTAGAGTTACATGGGCAGAAGTTCCTGGTATTATTTCAGGCTTGATGTGAATTTAAAAAGTATTAGGTCGGTGCAAAAGTAATCATGGTTTTTGCCATAACCTTAACAGAAAAACTACGATCACTTTTGCACCAACCTAATACACGAAAAATATAGGATGCTGTCCTACTTAATTTTACACAAAATAAACATGGATTTTAAAGAGCTGTTTCTTCCTGTCTTGCCAAAATCATAGAAGCACATGTATAAGGTAGAGACCCCCCATGTGCAATCATATAAACTATGATTATGGTATTGAGATGGGGCTATCTAATCCAACAGGGCCAGTGACAGCCAGACCTACAGGATAATAGAACCTCATGTGCAAAACTGAGTTTGTCTTGAAATCTAGGCTGTGAGTTCACTACTTTATAATACAATAGGAATGCAATAGCTTCCCTCTAAAGAGTATTTTTTTAAAGTGCATTATGGAAATATGTTATATTATTTTGTTTCATTTGGTCATTTTCTTTCTGTGTTTCTCTTTCTTAGCCTGTGCTCAATATGAAGTTTTGTCTTTGAAGTCCTGCTGACTTCTGGGAGTGCCTCTACACAGCCTTCTGTACTACACAGACTGGACTGTCTGTGCTGTGGACTCTATAGAGTGGACTGTGTGTGCTGTGGGCTCCACAGAGTGGACTGTGTCTGCATTCTGCCCTCTATGGAGTGTACTGTCTGTGCTGTAGACTCCATAGAGTTGACTGTGCTGTGGGCTCAATAGAGAGGATCTCTATGCTGTGGACTCCATGGAGTTTACTGTCTCTGCTGTGTACTCCATAGAGTGGATTGTCTGTGCTGTCAATTCCGTAGAGTGGACTGTGTGTGCTGTGGACTCCATAGAGTGGACTGTTTGTGCTGTCAACTTTATGGAATGAGCTGTCTGCTCTGTGGACTCCATAGAGTGGACTGTCTGTACTGTAGACTCCATAGAGTGGACTGTCTGTGCTGTGGGTTCCATAGTGAGGACTGTCTGTTTTGTTGACTCCATAGTCAACTTTATGGAATGAGCTGTCTGTGCTGTGGACTCCACAGAGTGGGCTGTGTGTGTTGTGGGCCCCATAGAGTGGACTGTCTCTGTTGTGCCCTCTATGGAGTGGAGTGTCTGCACTGGCCCACGCCAACCAATCTCACAGACTGGAGCTCCGTATGGCCCACTTTCAGAGCAGCCCTCTAGGTTCAGGTTAAAGGGCAGGGTCTGGACTAGAAACTGCAGCTGACCCAGTTAGCACCAGCTGAGAAGAAAGCAGGATGCACTATTTCGTATCATCCTCTACACCTTCTCTACCAACTTCTCTTTAACCTCCTCTCACTAGGGTCTGACTTAAAGAGATGAACGTCTTTGCTCTCCAGCCATCCTTGCCTCTCAGCTGGCCCCAGACTCTCTCCCCTCCTCCACACTCCCAGTTGCCACTCTTCTGGTCTCTTTCTCCTCCCTTCCCACAGTCTGCCCTATCAGGCAGATCAGAGCAGCCTCCTGGCCCCCATCTGCTGATGCTGTTCTCTGTGGACCCCAGGGACTCCTGAGTGCCAATTCCAGGCCCCTTTCCAGCTTCCTTCTTTCCTGCTTGGATTTTTTTAGCACATACCGTACACCAATAATGCAGTGGAATGTAGTGGTAACCACAGTTAGTCTGATCCCATCTCATGGAGAACACACACCAGTGGAAATGACAGTCAACAAGCAACAAAGTGCATTATTAGCAAAGCAGATCAGTGCTGTGAAGAAACTAATGATAAACAGACTGCTGGAGAGTGAGTGACAGGTGGGTTGGCGAGGACTTTGTTTCTGCAATCAGGCCATGGAATGAGATTTCCTGCTGTTCTGCATCCTCATCAGCATTTGGTGTTGTCAGTGTTCTAAGTTTTCGGCATTCTAATAGTGGTATAGTGGTATCTCGTTGCTGTTTAATTTGTATTTTTCTGGTGGTATGTGATGTGGAGCATCTTTTCATATGCTTTTTTGCCATCTTTCCGTATGTGTTTTAGTGAAGTATCTACTAACTTTTTGGCCCATTTTTTAATTTGATTGTTTTTTTCTTCCTATTATTGGGTTTTAAGAGTTCTTTATCAGATACGTCTTTTGCTCATATTTTCTCTCAGTCTGTGGCTTGTCTTTCATTTTCATGACAGTGTCTTTTGCAAAGCAGATATTTTTACTCTTAATGAAGCCCAGCTCATCAATTCTTTCTTTCATGGATTGTATCTAGCAAGTCACTGCCAAACTCAAGGTCATCTAGATTTTCTCCTGTGTTATCTTACAGGAGTTTTATAGTTTGTATTTTACAATTAGGCTTGTCATCCATTTGATTAATTTTTGTGGAGGGTATAAGGTCTGTGTCTGGATTCATATATTTGCAGGTGGATATCCCATTGTTCCAGCACCATTTGTTGAGAAGACTGTCTTCGCTCTGTTGAATTGCCTTTGCTCCTTTGTCAAGAATAGGTTGATTGTATCTCTGGGGGTCTATTTTTCGACTCTCTACTGTGTTCCATTGGTCTGCTTGTCTTTTCTTTAACCAAAACCACTGTCGTGATTACTGCAGTTTTATAGTGAATCTTGGCATCCGGTAGTGTCAGTTATCCAAGTTTGTTGTTGTTGTTTTTTTCCGTGCTGTATTATGTTAGCTATTCTGAGTCTTTTGCATCTCCATATAAACTAGAGTAAGTTTATGGATCTCTACAAAACAACTTACGGGGATTTTGATTGGGATTGCATTGAATCTTTATTTAATGCGATTGAGCCTTCCTGTCCTATATCATTCCATGATGTATATATTCTAGTTTCTTTATCCAGTCTGCCATTCATGAGCATTTAGGTTCATTCCATGTCTTTGTTATCATAAACAGTGCTGCAATAAACATACCTGTGCATGTATCTTTATGTTTATATTATGTAAATATATTAGTAGAATTATATAATTAGTATATTAGTATAATATAAATATAGTATATATAGTAAATGTATACTACATATATTTAATATAACATATTTATATGTTATATTTATACCATATATTTTAAATATATTTATAGTATATATATTAGTATATTTATACTATACTATATTTACACTATGGTTATACTAAATGTGGCAATTGTGAATGGGATTGCATTCCTAATTTGGCTCTCAGCTTGGCTCTTGGTGATGTATAAGAATGCTAGTGGTTTTTGTGTTTTGATTTTGTATCCTGGGATTTTGCTGAAGTTTATTAGCTGAAGGAGCATTTGGGCCAATAGTGAGGTTTTCCAGATATAGAATCATGTCATCAGCAAACAGGGATACTTTGACTCCTTCTCTTCCTGTCTTGATCTGCTTTATTTCTTTCTCTTGCCTGACTGCTCCACTCCTGGCCAGGACTTCCAATACTACATGGAATAGGGGTGTTGTGTATTTTCTTCAAATCTTGTTCATTGCTAGAATATAGGAAAATGATTGACTTTTGTGTATTAACCTTGTATCCTGCAACCTTGGTATAATTGCATATTAATTCCAGAAGGTTTTTTTGTTAATTCTTTTGTATTTTCTTTATAGACAATTATGTCATCTGTGAACAGAGAGTTTTATTTCTTTCTTTCCTATCTGTATACCTTTTATTTTCTGTTCTTGTCTTATTGCATTAGCTAGGACTTGAGTATAATGTTGAAAACAGTGGCAAGAGGGATATTCTTGCCTTGTTCCTGATCTGAGTGGGAAATCTGCTTTGTCATCATTAAATATGGTGTTAGCAGTAGGCTTTTTGGTAGACATTCTTTATCAAGTTTGAGGAAGTTCTCCTCTATTCCTTGTTTACTGAGAGTTATTATCATGAATGAGTGTTGGATTTTCTCAAATGCTTTTTTTGCATGTGTTGATATGATTGTGCATCTGTATCTGTTTTTCTCCTTTTCTCTGATGATATAATGCATTACATTTATTGGTATTCAAATGTTGAATCAGCTTTATACATGTGAGATAAATCCCACTCAGCCATGGCATATCATTCTTTTTATACATTGCTGGATTTGATTTACTAATATTTTGTGGAGGATTTTTTTTTGCATCTATGTTTATGAGAGATAATGGTGTGTCATTTTCTTAACTTACAATATCTTTGTCTGGTTTTGGTATTAGGGCAATACTGGTATCATAGAATGAGTTAGGAATTATTCCTTCCACTTCTATGTTTCTGGCATAAGTTCTTATAAAGCTTTCTGCTTATGGGTATCTGTCCCAGTAAGTTACGATTCTCTGTATTTACCTGTCTCTCTCTCCAGTTTTGGGGACAGTGGTTTGGCCTGTAACTCCGCTTCTCTAATGATTTAAGAAGAGTTGTTAATTTTCCAATTTGTTTGGATTTTTACTTGTTGTTGGAACTGAGTGGTAACTTCCAAGTTTCTTACAAGCCAGACTTGCCACATGATTTTAAAGGGATTTTGAAATCCTACAGACTCAATTTTTTAAAAGCTTAATTTTTTTAAAATTATGATTCTACTATGGAGTGTATAAAATACATATATATAGTTTTAAAAAGTTTAAAATAGTCACCATGTAACCACCATTCAGATGAAGGAAAAGAATATTGCCAATGTCTTAGAACAGGAGCCAGCACACTCTTTCTGTAAAGGCCCAGATAGCAAATGTTTTTGACTTTCTGTCAACACTGCTCAATACTGTAGCATTTGGTACTGTCAGACTTCCTATTTTTTCCATTCTAGTAGATGTGTAATAGTATCTCATTGCAGATTTGATTGGCATTTTGTTGGTTATCAGTGAGATTGAATATCTTCATTTGTTCATTCATTGGTCAAGTTTCCTTTATGGTGAAGTGCTGAGACTTTAAACATTCATACTGGTTTGTCTTTTTCTCATTGCTCAACAGGAACTGTTACTGTGGTCATAGTGTACCCTGCTCTGTGGGTCCTGCTCTTTTGTAAGTGACATGTGGTACAACTATCATCTCTGTGTTCTTACCCTTTTTATATGATGTCTTTTGATAAATATAAGTTCTTTCTAATGTAGTCAAATTTACTAACGTCTCTCTGTAGATCTTGTTTAAGAATTCTACCCCAGAGTCATCATGAAGATATTCTCTCACATTCTCTTATAGGGACTTGACAGTTTCAACTTTCACACTCAGGTCATGAAATCTGGACTAGATGCTTCCCAAGTGTTGTGAGGCAGGGACCCAGTGTAATTTTCTCTGTATAGAAGGTCAGCTGTTCCAGCACTGGTCATTGTGAAGTCCCTCTTCCCCTGGCTGATCTGAGCATCACCACTGCCTACATCATAACCTGCAGGTGTTACTGAACTCCTCATTCTGTTCCATTGATCAGTTTGTCTGTGCTGGCACCTACATCACATCTTTGTCATCACTATAACTTAATGATACATCTTAATTGGTAGGCAACTCCCTCTATCTTGTTCTTCAAGAGTTTTGAATCACTTTGTCGAGCTCCACAAAGAAAACGACACCTTTGCTATTCTATTTGAGTTTTCTGATTCATGAACATGATGTCTCTCCATTTATTTCGAACTTCTTTAATATCTTTCAATAAAGTTTTATACTTTTCTCTATAAAGGCATTTCTCAGCTATCACAGGTGTATTCCTAGGCCTTTCTAATTTTTGATGCCCTTCGTAAATGTTATCTTTTAAAATTTCACATTCTGTATCTGATATATAAAAATGTGATTTTTTTTTGCCCGTTGATATAGAATCCAGACCGCTTGCTAAATTCACCTCTTATAATAATTTATTTGTGGATTCTTTGTATTCCTATGTATACAATTATGTCAGTGAATAATAATAATTATATTTCTTCCCATCCTATCATTATACCAGTTATCCTTTTTCTTGCTTAATTTAACTGGCTGAGACCCCGTGGTACAATGTTGAATAGTGGGTGATAGAGATATCCTCACTTTGTTCCTGATCTTAAGGAGAATGCTTTGTTCTTTCACGGTTAAGTATCATGCTCACAGATAATTCTGTAGATGTACCCATTATATACACCTCGTTGCGTTGTTATGAAGAAGATTAAATAAGATATTACTTGGAAACAACAGAAGACATTGCTGAGAACCACATGTGTTAGCTGTTATTCAAGTCTGTGGTCTTCTTATATGCTGGCCAATACCTTCTGTAACCCCTCAGGGACATAAAAATGGTACCATATAATCTTGTCATCATAGCTGGAGTCTAATGTCCCTCATTTCCCCTCTAATAGCCAGAGGACTAAAGTTAAACCTTCACTGGGATGAGGATCCTCCATCTCATTTCCTGGGCTCTGGTTGGCCCTTATTTCTAATTGTTTGTGAACCTAAGAATCCAGGTCAAACCCCTGATGCCTCTCAGAAACCGCCCCCTTCCAACACCTAATTCTCCTTCCCATTTTGCTTGGTCACTTTCTTTCCAGGAATGATGAGGATACCTGGAACTTAGATTAAAAGGTGAATAAAGAGGTGGATGGGGATACAAATGCCTTAGGTTGTCCCAGATTTTGACTATTTGGCATCTTTTCTGCTGTCATACACTCATTTCACATGTTCCTAAATACCATCTTCTGATGTTGTAGAATTTTATAGAAACCGATAACGAGGGCAATGGCATTCTTCGACGCCGGGATATAAAGAACACGCTGTACGGTTTTGATATTCCCCTCACACCAAGAGAGTTTGAAAAGCTTTGGGCAAGGTAAGTGGCATGTGAGACTGGCTGGTTTCAGTTCTTAATGGACTAGGTTGCTTGCTGTGGCAAATTCAGCACAAATCTTTCCTGGACCAGGGTGACTGGGGGGCTGAGAGTATTTTCCCTTGGTCACATCTGTCCCATCTCCTGTGTCTTTCCTTGTTTCTTGCTCCTTGTTGCTCATAGCAAGCAGTTTGGTGGATGGGTTGGTCTTCAGCCAAGCCACGGTAAATGCTCATCATCCATAACAGACTTAAGAGGTTTGCATTTCCAAGGAACTGGGAGCTCAAGCCCAAACTTTTAGTTTTAACAAAACAAGTCACTCTCTAAGGACTTAACTCTAATACAACTCACTCACCAGACATGTAACGGGTAAAGGAAAGAACAGTTTCTCCGCATTGCCTATAGACGGGAATTAATGTTGCACAACTGTTTTATAGATAAGTAATTTGTGGGAAGAAAAACCAAACTTTCAGCAACTTGGAGTAGCTTCTGGATGGTCTCTTAAACTGAGAACAGTATCCAGTGTTGGTTCCATTTGTCAAATGTATTTTCCATTTCGCTGTTTTGGAATTGGGCCCCCTGTTACGGTCTTCCCTGGATGCACGTGTGAGTTTCACATTCCACACTAACAATGTGGTCTCTTTCCGAGTTCCAGGCCCAACTTCAAATTACCTCCTTCTTCATTATATGTCCGCAGCCACCTGCATTCCCCCAGGATGGTATTCCACCATCATACGGCCACTCAGGAGGCAAACTCATAAAACAGTTCATACCATTTCCCAACTTTTCATCTGTTCAAAGTGGAAGGCCGAAATGTTGGCCATGTTTAGAATTAGGTGGGTTGTTTTGTGCCTAATTTAGAAAAGCAACTAGAAGTGCTCACAAAATCCTGATTTTTTAAGATCAGTTCCAACACAGGGTCTCATTAGACTCCCTGCCCATTTCTGTTTGAGTAGCTTACATTAGTAGTTCCAGCTGGCTGATAGGCAGATCTTTGTAAAGCCGGCAAATGCATAGTCCTCCCTCTCAGTTGACCCTTGGATGATCCGAAGATGACAATGTGGTCCCAGTCTGTGGAGAGCGGTCAGGGCACAGAATGCATTTACACAGGTAGCTACGGTACAGTGACAATTGTGCAAAAAACCCTGGGCAGAGAGCAGGTCGAGTGGCGTGTGCTGCGAGGCAGAAGCATGGGGCCAGGGAGGGCTGGACGCTGTGGTGGTTCCAGATGGAGAAGGAGACATTCTGGGTCAGCGGCCGCCTGTCTGCAGGGAGGCGGGTGTCCTATCAGAAGTGGGATCGGGCTCCCAGGGTTAGACAGGAAGTGGAGGGCAGATACCTTACCAGGTCCTTGCTTCCAGGTGTTATTGACCAGGCGGTCGGGAACAATGGAATTTGAGTGTGGTTATGGGGCGAACAGAGCTGTGATTCAGGAAGATGAGTCAGGAAACAGTTCAGGGGAGAGGCTGGCTGGGAGTGCTGGCCCTGGGAGACCGCCACCTCCACCAGTGGGCACAGGACGGACCCCTGAATGGGGGCTAGCCATGGGGATGAAAGGCACTGGAGTTGTGTCCCCCACCAAGGTTCCCATGTGGGAAATGAGAGTGTGCGGACCCTCTTTTTGAGGGCAGGACAGAACTTGTCTCCATTTCCACTGGAGGTGGGCACTCACTATTGCTCATGGCTGAAGTTTATACATTTATGAACATAATTATGAAATGTACAGATTTGCACCCTGTGTTGACAACTGCTTGCAGTCAGAATTTTGTCCACTATCATTTAGTTGACCTTATGCCACAGACGGGGAGTGGTTAAGAGCAACAGCCCTGTAGCCAGATGCGTGGGCGTGACTCCTGCCTGCTTCCTGCTGTGTGACCTCCATCAAGTTACTTAGTTTCTCTGTGCCGTATACTCCTCATCACCTGCAAAGCAGCACTAATCCTCCCTATCACCCCAGGCCACTGTGATGCCTGGTTAAGGAGTCATATAAAGTGCGAGCCCAGGGCCTGGCGCACAGTAACCACTCAGTAAATTTAACACACCCTCTCTTCATTTGGTCACCCAGAAAATGCTTCTTAAACACTGGCTCTGCACCTCTTTGCATGGCTGAGGATGACCAAGATGAATGAATAACCCAGAGCTCATCTCCTAAGATACTCACATGCTCTTAAGGAGGGAAACTCTTGGTAATTAAGTGCTTTGTCCCTGCTGGGACCTATGAAGGCTCAGAAATCAAGGACTGATGAGCCAGGCTTTTAAGCTGAGTTATTTCACATAACAAGCTTAATTTATGAGGAAGTGGAAGAGTGATGGTGAATCTTGTCTGCTAGAGAGACAATATATTTGGAGGCCATAGAAAAATGCAGTTCTTGGGGTGATAATTCTTCTATTCCCTCCCTCCAGTGAGTCCCTTTTGCCCTCTGGAATTGTCTTTGGGTCGGCACACACATTCACCTGGTGACCCTTCCTGTGTCTATGTTTTCATTCTCCCTTAGGTCAGTTGCGCAGTTCCTAGGAAGCTCTGCAAATTATAGCACCTGTCGTTTTTATTTCACTTCATTAGATGAACTGCTTCCTGCAAAGTATTTTATGAGATATCTACATTTTCAAAATCGAATCAAAGTTTTATTGATTCGAGATTTTCTTCACTGCTATTGTTTTTGCTCTCCACTTTTTTACTGTGTTAAATACACACAACTCACAGTTTACCATCTTCACTGTTTTTAAGCACACAGCCTGGTGATATTCAATACATTCATCATGTTGCTCAGCCATCACCATTGTCCAGCTCCAGAACTCTTTTTGTCTTGCAAAACTGAGACTTTCTGTTTTTTGAGATGGAGTCTTGCTCTGTTGCCCAGGCTGGAGTGCAATGGTGTGATCTCGGTTCACTGCAACCTCTGCCTCCTGGGTTCAAGGGATTCTCCTCCCTTAGCCTCCTGAGTAGCTGCAATTACAGGTGTGTACCACCATGCCTGGCTAATTTTTTGTATGTTTAGTAGAGACAGGGTTTTACCATGTTGGCCAGGCTGGTCTTGAACTCCTGACCTTAAGCAATCTGCCCACCTCAGCTTCCCGAAGTGCTGGGATTACAGGCATAAGCCATGGCATGAGATTTTTATTTTTATTTTTTTATTTTAACTTTTAAGTTCAGGGTACATATACAGATTTGTTAAATAGGTAAACCCATGTCATAGGGGTTTATTGTACAGATTATTTGGTCACCCAGGTATGAAGCCTAGTATACAATAGTTATTTTCTGATCATCTCCTTCCTCCCACCCTCCATCCTCCAAAAGGCCCCAGTGTCTATTGTTTCCCTCTGTCTGTCCATGAGTTCTCATCATTTAGCTCCCACTTATAATAAAAACATGAGATATTTGGTTTTCTGGTCCTGCATTAGTTTGCTGAGGATAATGGCCTCCAACTCCATCTACATTCCTGCAAAGGACATGAGCTCATTCTTTTCATGGCTGCATAGATATTAATTCCATGGTGTATATGTACCACATTTTCTTTATCCAGTCTACCATTGGTGAGCATTTGGGTAGAGTCTATGTCTATGCTGTTGTGCATAGTGCAGCAGTGAGCATACGTGTGTATGTTTCTTTATAATAAAATGGTCTCTATTCCGCTGGGTCTATATGCCCAGTCATTGGATTGCTGTGTGGAATGGCAGTTCTGCTTCTAGTGCTTTGAGAAGTCTCCACACTGCTTTCCACCTCGGTCAAACTAGTTTACACTCCCACCAACAGCATATGAGCATTCCCTTTTGCTCTGCAACCTTGCCAGCATCTGTCATTTTTTAACTTTTTAATAATAACCATTCTGACTGATGTGAGATGGTGGCTCATTGAGGCTTTGATTTGCATTTCTCTGAGGATCAGTGATGCTGAACTTTTTTCATCTGCTTTTTGGCCACATGTATGTCTTCTTTTGAAAAGTCCATTTCATGTCCTTTGCCCACTTTTTAATGAGGTTCTCTGATTTATCTTGTAAATTTGCAAAACTGAGATGTTTAAGGTGATGTTAGGCTGTGTTGGTCCAAGTGGTATACTGGTCGGGTGAGGCTAACCGTGGCAACAAACAGGGCCAGCATCTCAGTGTCTTCCTCAAAAATGGCATCCTAGTCTAGTGTGGGTATGGGGGGCACACTACCTGCAGGGTCACTTAGGAACCAGGCGTCTCCCATCATCCTCTGGACCTTTTGTGTCTGCTGACAAAGAAGGGGAAAGAGCTCAGTGGAGCACGTGGTCAGCTTTGCAGGGCCCAGGCCTAGAACCATAGCCATCTTCACCCTCTTTGCATGTTCCTGTGGCCAGAATCCATCCACATGGCTGTGACCACCTGCAAGGTAGGCTGGGAGGGGCCCTCTGCATGCATGTCCAGGAGGAAAAAGAAACAGAGATGGGGGAACTTATAATGGTGTCTGCCACACATGGAATTACCCCAAGGGAGATGGGACAGGGAGCATTCAAGGCAGAGGAGACTCCAGGAGTGTGTTCATCTGGGCCCAGATGGGGAAACAGAAACCACTGTTGATATTTACAGCCACATGGGAGTTTATGCAGCAAACAGTAACACGGGGGTCAGAAGGGCTGGAATTCTGAAAGGGGGAATGTGGTACTACTCAGAGACCAGGACTTTTAGGTGCACTGAATACAAAGAAGTTGAACTTGGAGATGTGCTAGCCGGGTAGACTCTAAGCTCAACATGAAGAACCTTTCAGTAATTAAAGCCATCTGGAACCCTTGCAGGCAGTCCTTGAAGGAAGTGTGGTTCTCTTGTCTGACATGGCTTTGTCTGAGGCTACCCCCTTCTTAATGGGCAGTGTAAAGGAAGGATTTTGGCTCTTTTTGTTTATTTGTTTTGGGTTTTTTTGTTTTTTGAGATGGAGTTTCACTCTTATTGCCCAGGGTGGAATGCAATGGCACGATCTCAGCTCACCGCAACCTCCACTTCCTGGGTTCAAGCGATTCTCCTGCCTCAGCCTCCCAAGTAGCTGGGATTATAGGTGCCCACCACCACTCCTGGCTTTTTTTTTTGTATTTTTAGTAGAAACAAGGTTTCTCCATGTTGATCATTCTGGTCTCGAGCTCCTGACCCCAAGTGATCCTCCTACCTTGGCCTCCCAAAATGCTGGGATTATAGATGTGTGCCACCATGCCCGGTTGGATTTTGGCTCTTGATGGGCACCAGAAGAGATGGTGTCTGATCTTCTGTAATTCTATCAGAACACACCCCTGGGCATGTTCAACTTTAGCAGTTGGGCACTCTATGAGTCTTTCCTCGTGCTGCGATAAAGAGATACCTGAGACAGGGTAACGTATAAAGAAAAGAGGTTTCATTGGCTCCTGGTTCCACAGGTTGTACAGGAAGCTCTTTGCTGGCATCTGCTCAGCTTCTGGGGAGGCCCCAGGAAACTTAAAATCATGGTGGAAGGAGAAAGGGGAGCCAGCGCTTCACATGGCCAAAGCAGGATGAAGGTGGTGGTGGGGTGCCATACACTTTTAAACACGCAGATCTCTTGAGAACTTATTCACTATCATCAGAAAAACAGCATGATGAGGATGTTGCTAAACCATTCATGAAGGATCCATTCACCTCTCACCGGGCCCCATCTCCAACACTGGGGATTACAATTTGACATGAGATTTGGGTGGGGACACAAATCCAAATCATACCAGACACTTTCATTTCTAAAGAGCAGCTATTTGAGCCACCAGACCACCCTCCAAGATGGTACCTGAGAGAATTCCTTGTGTCCCCAGCTACACGAGGTGCTGTGTCTGCCTCTGCTGCCTGGGCGGGGCCGTCAGTAGGGTTTACACAACACCTCCTGTTTTGCCCTGTAACTCTAGGGACAGTGGCGTTTGAAGGTACTTCTGAAATTTATGTAAGAATCCAGTGCTTAAACTGAGCCTAAAGGACTAAGACAGTCTCAGCAAAGCAGACCAATCAATGTGAACATGCCCAAGTTATGTGCACAACCGAATTGCTGTGTGCACAATAAATGGGCAGAGTCATCTACTTGTATCATAAATGAGAGGCCATTGCCATCCACAAATGTGAGTTTTTATGGGTCCTCTGTTTATGTGTACGTTTTTTTCCTGGCACATCTATTGCTGAACCATTTGAAAATTCAACTTTATAGGCAAGTTGATTTTTTAAAATGTTACACAAGGATGATATCATGAGGGTGAGGTTATGTAAGCTGAATTAGCTTGCTTATTAATCATATTCACAACAATATTTTAGTTGCGGTTGTGCAATCTGGTCTTCTGTGCCTTTGGATGGGAATAGAACGTTTATGATCTTTACTAATGAAGTCATTAAGAATGCCTTTTCATTCAGTTCCAGTGTCACGATGGAAAGTCTGTTGTTGGTAATCCCTGGAGCACAGCACTCCAGGAGGAAGGTCCTTCCTTAGAAATGCACCGCCTTCACTTTTCTTAGCTCAACATCCGTGAATGGATAACGCAGCTCATGCAAGTTGTGAGGACGCTGGGAGTTTGCATAGTTTCTTCTCAAGAAACTTGCCATCTGGTAGGCACATAAGATATGGATGGAGGAACTGGATGGAGGCAGGATGTGGGAGAACCCTTGGGTGGCACAGGGCAGTAGCAAATGCCAACATGCACTCCCCATGTATCCCCACATGCACTAACCCATCCAGTCCCCGCCATGCCTTGAAGAGCTCAAAGGAAGGCAGGGTAGTGGTTCTTTTGACTTAGGAGAAGAGAGACATTTCCAAAGCAGGTGCACTGCTTTCTGGGGCTGCTTGTCAGGTGGGTGGGCTGTGGACCATTCTGTTAGGAACCCTCCTGTCAGAATGGGGAACCCCTGAGAGCTTTATTCAGAGGGCGTCTTGACCCGAGTTGCATTATTACATTGCCCTGGTGGCACAAGGCTAGTTAGAGTCCTGATGTAATTCAAGGAGAGAGGCATGGCTCTGGGATCACCCTGAAGCTCAAGGAATGGCAGCCCTTCTGCTTCTTGGTATGTCCATGTGAAATTCAACTTCCTCCCTGCAGCCATCTCAGCATCGCCAGCAGCAGGGAAGCCTTTGCTGGAGGCTCCTGCCTCTGACGGTGCTGCTGAGACCACAGCTCTTCTACAGCCACAGGGGAAGCCTCAGGAACTACAGAGCCCACAGGCCTTTTTCTGTGGGTGTGTTGTCTTGTTGTATTTTAAAAACAAAATTCACTGAATAAAGATGGAAGGGTACTTTTCTGGGTTTCAAAATTAAAGTCATCATCATAACACACACCTGAAAAGATCTTGTCACCCCCTCTGTGCTCTGCTGGAGAAAAGAAAAAAAAAACAGACACCCAAAAAGATCTGCAGGGGATAAAGAGCTGGTCTCAGCAGGAGCTGGGCAGGGCACTGGCCTGATACCTCACTTCTAGGACTCAGTGTGATGGCTCCTGGCTGAGGAACTGATCCCCGGAGCAGGCAAAGGCCTTGCCAGGTGAAGAGCTGGTGAGCTGGTATTTACCTGCAGCCCTCTATCTGCACCCTACCTGCAAAGCAGTGAAGGAAATCGTCCAAGGGGGCTTTTCTTACCTTGACAGGTAGAGTCTGTGTGGAGAATGTACAAATACTGTGTTCAGGTAGCAGGTAGATGACAGACACATGGCAGAGGAGCGGGGATCTGCAGGGCACAGAAGGCAAGGGAGCATGGAGAGAACGCTCATGAGCACCTGACAGGATAGGCCCACGTGGCCTTTAGGAAGGGTGGTGGTCTTTCAACTCCTGAGAGCTTCAGCAAGTTTAAGCACAAGTGCACAAAGCAGCATTCACCCAAACATCTCCCTGCTTTCTCTCCTACCCGCCACCCCATCCCCTTGAGGACAAGAACATGGTATATAAGGATGTTTTCTTTATTGTTAACTCAGCTTAAACAGTTGCACGGGGCTTAGTGTGTCAGAGGCAAGTGTGGGTCTCATAGCTCCTCCAGGATCTCATCAGTTAACAAGCAGAGCGAAAGGGAGCTCTACCTCTCAAAGGAAAACCAGTTGTACTTCTGCTCTGTCAGACAAATGCCCAAGCAACGTCCTAATGGGAGAATTATGCTGGCAAAATTGTTTAAATATAGTCTCATTCCTTGTAACTCTCAGTTCATCTGGGGAAAATCACATCTGCGAATGCCATTTTTATCGATTAGATGAGTACCAAGATCTTTCTGTAAAAATACATGCTTTCTTTCTTTAAAGAAAATTGGCAATTTGCCTTAAAATTTTTATTGAAGTAATTCTATTCTATTTGAATAACGTTGGGAGATAAAAACCCTCCATTATGCCTTTTTTAATGAGTTCTAATTCAGAAAAATCTCAATAATAGAAAATGACATAAAAGGTACATAGCATAATTCTTATCTTGTTTTCCTCACTGGTCCCTCTCATTGGCTGTGTGTAATTGGCATCTCTTCAAAGAGAAAATGGGGAATTTTACCATCTTTGAATCAAATGACATTCACTTATTTGAGTTTTAAGACTGAATATGCTTTTTGAAGAATTTTCGTCTAAACCTTAGCATAGTTCCTTTCACAGGTAAGTATTCAATTAAAAAAAACTGCTGAATGGGCGAGGTGAGGCAACTCACGCCTGTAATCCCAGCACTTTGGGAGGCCGAGGTGCATGGATCACCCCAGGTCAGGAGTTTGAGGCCAGCCTGGCCAACATGGTGAAACCCCGTCTCTACTAAAAATGCAATAATTAGCCAGGTGTGGTGACACGCACCTGTAATCCCAGGTACTTGGGAGGCTGAGGCAGGAGAATCACTTGAGCTGGGGAGATGGAGGTTGTAGTGAGCCAAGATCACACCACTGCACTCCAGCCTGGGCTACAGAGCAAGACTCTGTCTCAAACAAACAAACAAACAAAAGACTGCTGAATGTAGGGAGGGGTTCACTTTAATTTTCTGTAGTTACAGCTTTTTCTAATAGAATGACAGGTGAGTGGCTACGGTTGCTCTCTCTCCAGGCAGGCCATGTGTGACGTGACCGTCCTGAACGTTCATGTGCCTGTGAGTCACCTGGGGTCCTTGTCAACATGCAGATTCAGATCAGATCTGGAGTGAGGCCCGAACTCGCGCATTCCAGCTCTGCCAGGCAGAGCTCTACAGGGCATGCTTTGAGTGGTGAGGGATGGAATATGAGCTCCTCACAGATGGTGCAGACATTTCTAGACCCTCAGCACCAGCACACCTTAGTAGCTACTGAGAAGTGCTTTCTGTTTTTGTTTTTTAAAGGTACGACACAGAGGGAAGAGGACACATTACCTACCAGGAATTTTTACAGAAATTGGGTATTAACTATTCACCTGCTGTCCATCGGCCCTGCATGCAGGATTATTTCAACTTCATGGGTCATTTTACGAAGCCACAGCAGCTACAGGAAGAGATGAAGGAGCTGCAGCAGAGCACAGAGAAGGCCGTGCCAGCCAGGTGAGTGAGGAGGGATCTGGGGGCCGTCATCTAGAAGTCCCCTTTTACATCTGGCCTCACAGCAAGTTATTTTAAAATGGTACCTTCCCGTGCTGACAAAGTTACAGGGAAATGATTATGCTTGTTCAGTGCTGTCGATTCTAGAAATTGGTGCTAGAAAAGCTACAGCCCTATTCCATCTTACCCAGGCACAGTCTTTTTTTTTTCTTCTTTGAGACAGAGTCTCACTCTGTCACTCAGGCTGGAGTGCAGTGGCATGATCTCAGCTCACTTCAACCTCCATCTCCTGGGTTCAAGCAATTCTCCGGCCTCAACCTCCGGAGTAGCTGGGATTACAGGTGTCCACCACCACGCCCCACTAATTTTTGTATTTTTAGTAGAGATGGGGTTTCACCCATGTTGGCCAGGCTGGTCTTGAACTCCTGACCTCGTGATCCACCCACCTTGACCTCCCAAAGTGCTGGAATTACAGGCGTGAACTACAGCTCCTGGCCACCCAGTCACAATATTCTATAATTCATCATATTCTATGGGTCACCCTTGAAAATTATCCATTTTACTTATGGATGGCATATTGCCTGGCCACTCTCTGCCCAACTGGAATACAGATTCCATAGGGATGTCTGTTACTTTACCTGGTGTCTGACACCAAACAGGCACTTAGTAATATCTGTTGAATGAATAAAGGAATGAACTAGACATATCCTTTAACTCACACTTCCACTTTTGGGACTTTATCCCAAGGAAACAATTCAGAAGAAGCCGACAGCTTAGCAACTGGAAGGTGTGACCAGCAGTGTCTTTTTTTTTTTTGAGATGGCGTTTCGCCCTGCTGCCCAGGCAGGAGTGCAATGATGCTATCTCAGCTCACTGCAACTTCTGCCTCCCAGGTTCAAGCAATTCTCCTGCCTCAGCCTCCTGAGTAGCTGGGATTACAGGCACACACTACCATGACCAGCTAATATTGGTCTTTTTAGTAGAGATGGGGTTTCACCATGTTGGCCAGGCTGGTGTCGAACTCCTGACCTCAAGTGATCCGCCCACCTCGGCCTCCCAAAGTGCAGTGTGTCTTTCACAGTAGCCTGAAAGAGCATGAAGTTGCACATGCCTGCTGTGGCCACTGTGGAAGAACATGGAAATATTTGTATAAAGGGCTAACAGGCAGTGACATTTTCGGCGGTATGTGTACCGTGAGTGGAATGATATCAAATATAGGAGCAGGTTCACAGGACCAGAAGATGCTGTGCAGAAGGTACCCCACTGGACTTGGGTGGTGGGAGCGTACCTGACTCCTTTCCATTATTAAAACTGATATTTAATAGTTGTACATATTTTGGAGGGTATGTGTGATATTTTGATACTAATATACAATGTGTAATGATCAAATGAGGGTAACTGGGATATACATCATCTCAAACATTTATCTCTGTGTTGGGAATTCTACAGATCTTCTCTTCTAGCTATATATTTTTTAAATTTTGGGGTACATAGTAGGAGCATATATATATGGTTACATGAGATATTTTGATGTAGATATGCAATGTATAATAATCACTTCAGGGTAAATGGGATATCCATCACCCCATTTATCCCTTGTGTTACAAACAGTCTAATTATATTCTTTTAGATATTTTTAAATATACAATTAAATCTAACTACTTTGAAATATACAATAAGATTATTTAAAAATACACAAATCTAACTACTTTGAAATATACATTAATCTTATTGTATATTTCAAATATATTTCAAATATACAATAAGATTAATGTATATTTGAAATATACAATTGTTATATAATTAAATATAACAATATACAATTTTTTTTTGAGACAGTGTCTCACTTTCATCACCCAGGCTGGAGTGCAGTGGCTCCATCATGGCTCACTGCAGCCTCAACTTTCCAGGTTCAGATGATCCTCCCACCTCAGCCTCCTGAGTAGCAGGATTACTGGTACACACCACCACACCTAGCTAATTTTTGTATTTTTAGTAGGGATGGGGTTTTGCCATGTTGCCCAGGCTGGTCCCCAACTCCTGAGCTCAAATGATCCACCTACTTCAGCATCCTAAAGTGCTGGGATTGCAGGCGTGAGCAATCCCACCACACCCAGCTGAAATCACCTTTTTAAACCCCCTCATATGAGTGAGAACATGTGATATTCGTCTTTCTGTGCCTGGCTTACTTCACTTAATATAATTATGTCTAGTTCCCTCCATGTTGCTGTGAATGACAGGATTTTATTCTTTTTTATCACTGAATAATGTTCCATTGTGTATATGTGCCACATTTTCTTTATTCTTCCATTCGTGAACACTTGGGTTGACTTCATATCTTGGCTATTGTGAGCGGCACTGCAATAAACATGGAAATGTAGACATCTCTTTGATGTACCAATTTCCTTTCTTTTGGATATATACCCAGCAGTATTATAGAATTTCTGGATCATATGGTGGTTGTGTTTTTAGTTTTCTGGGAAATCTCCATGCTATATTCCATAGTACTGTACATTACCACCAACAGTGTATTACTTCCACTTTCTCTGCATATTTGCCAGCATTTATGTTTTGTCTTTTTGGTGATAGCTATTCTAACTGGGATAAGATGATATCTCATTGTGGTTTTAACTTGCGTTTCCCTGATGATCATTGACATTGAGCATGTTTCATATACCTCTTGGCCACTTTATATGTCCTCTTTTGAGAAATGTCTATTCAGATCTTTTGGCCATTTTCGAATCAGATTATTTATTTTTATGGTGTTGAGTTGTTGGAGTTCCTTATATATTCTGGTTATTAATCCCTTGTCAGCTGGAGAGTTTGTCCATACATTCTTCCACTCGGTAGGTGGTCTCTTCACTTCATTCCCATTGTGGCGCAGTAGCTTTTCAGCTTGATGAAATCCCATTTGTTTGTTTTTCCTTTTGTTGCCTGTGCTTTCGAAGTCTCATCCAAAATATATTTGCCCTCACCAATGTCCTGTAGGATTTCCCTAGTGTTTTCTTCTAGTATTTTCATAGTTTCTGGTCCTATATTTAAGTTTTTAATTCATTTTGAGTTGATTTTTGTCTATGTTGAAAGATGGGGATCTAGTGTCATCCGTCTGCATGTGGATATTCACTCTTTCCAGCACCATTTATTAAAGAAACTTTTCTTTCCCCAATGTGTGTTCTCAGTGCCTTTGACAAAAATGAGTTTGCTGTAAGTGCATAGATTTACTTCTGGGTTTTCTATTCTGTTCCATTGGTCTATGTGTCTGCTTTTACGCCAGTACAATGCTATTTGAGTAAGTATAACTTTGTAGTATAACTTGAAATCAGGTAGTGTGGTGCCTCTAGCTTTGTTCTTTTTTGCTTAGGATTGCTTTAGTTATGTGGGGGTCTTTGTGGTCTCATATGAATTATATTCTTTATTTCTGTGAAGAATTGCATTTGGTATTTTGGTAGGGATTGCTTGAATTTGTAGGTCATGTTGGATAGTATAGACTTTTTAACAATATTAATTCTTGCAATCCAGGAGCATGGGATATCATTTCATTTGTGTGTGTGTGATCTTCAGGTTTTTTCATCAGTGTTTTGTAGTTTTCTTTGTATAGATCTTTCACTTCTTTGGTTTACCTGATTTCTAGGTGTTTTATATTCTTTGTAGCTGTGAAACGTGGATTGCTTTATTTATTTCTTTTTTAGATTGATCACCATTAACATATAGAAATGCTACTGATTTTTGTGTGTTGATTTTGTATCCTGCAGCTTTACTGAATTTATCAATTCTAGGAATTTTTTGGTGAAGTCTTAAGGTTTTTTAAAATGTAAGATTATGTCATCTGCAAATAAGGCTAATTTGACTTATTTCTTTCCAACTTGGATGCCCTTTATTTCTTTATCTTACCTAATTGCTCAGGTTAGGACTTCCAGTACTATGTTGAATAGAAGTAATGAAAATGGGCATCCTGTCTTATTCCAGATATTAGTGTAAAGACTTTCAACTTCTCCCTAGTCAGTATTATATTAGGCATGGGTTGTCATATATGGCCTATATTGTGTTGAGGTATTTTGCTTCTATATTCATTGTGGGGAGAGTTTTTATCATGAAAGGATGTTGAATTTTATCAAATGCTTTTTCAGCAGCTGTTGAAATTATCATGTAATTTTCTCCTTTATTCTGTTGATGTGATGTATCACATTTATTAATTTGCATATGTTGACCCAACCTTGCATCCCTGGGATGAATTCCACTTGATCATGATGAATGATCCTTTTAATGTGTTATTGAATTTTGTTTGCTAGTATTTTGTCGAGGATTTTTACATGTATGTTCATGAGGGATATTGGCCTGTTGTTTCCGTTTTTGGCAGTGTTCTTGTCTGGTTTGGGTATCAGGATATTACTGGCCGTATAGAATGAGTTTGCAAGTATTCTCTACTCAAAAGTTTAGGTAGAGTTGGTATTAGTTCTTCTCTAAATGTTTGGTAGATTTTAGCAGTAAAATCATCAGATCCTAGGCTTTTCTTTGATGGGAGACTTTTTATGACTTCTTTGGTGTTGTTACTCATTGTTGGTCTGCTCAGATTTTCAATTTTTTCATGGTTCAATCTTGGTAGGTTGTATGTGTCCAGGAATTTATCCACTTCTGGGTTTTCCCATTTGTCAGCATAGCTTTTCTTAGTAGTCTCTAATGATACTTTCTATTTCTGTCATCATCTCCAAAGTTGTAATACTTCTTTTTTTATCTCTGATTTAATTCATTTGGACTTTTTTTTCATAGTCTAGCTAAAAGTTTTCCAATTTTATTTATCTTTTCAAAAAACCAACTTTTAATTTTGTTGATCTTTTGTATCTTTTTAGTCTGAATTTCATTTATTTATGCTCTGATTTTATTTATTCCTTTCTACTAATTTTGGTTTGGATTTTTCTTGCTCTCCTAGTTTCTTGAGGTCCATTGTTAGATTGTTTATGTGAAGTCTTTCAATTTTTTTTAAACGTAGGCATTTATTGCTATACACGTCCCTCTTAGCACTGCTTTTGCTACAGCCCACAGATTTTTGGTATGTTGTTATTTCCATTTTCATTTGTTTCAATATGTTTTTAATTTTCTTCTTAATTTCTTCATTGACCATTTGTTGTTTATGAGCATGTTGTTTAATTTCTAGTATTTGTACCATTTCCAAAGTTTCTCTTGTTATTTATTTCTAGTTTTATTCTATTTCAGAAAAAAATACTTGATATGATGTTGACTTTTCCAAATTTGTTGAGACATGTTTTGTGACCTAACATGATGTATCCTGGAGAATGATCCATATGCTGATGAAAAGAATACATATTCTGCAGCAGCTGGATGAAAGTTCCTATAAATGTCTGTTAGGTCCGTTTGACCTAGAGTACAGTTTACTCGATGTTTCTTTGTTGACTTTCTGCCTGGATGAGCTGCCTATTGCTGAAAGGGAAGTGTTGATGTCCACTACTATTATTGTATTGCAATCTAGCTCTCTTTTAGATATATTAATATTTGCTTTATCTATTTGGATGCTCTGGTGTTGGGTGAACATATATTTGCTATTGTTATATCCTCTTGCTGAGTTGATCCCTTTATATTAAAATGACCTTCATGTCTTTTTAGTTTTTGACTTAAAGTCTATTTTATCTGATATAAGCATAGCTACTCCTGCTCTTCTTTGGTTTCCATTTGCATTGAATATCTTTTGCCATTTCTTTACTTTTGGTCTGTATGTGTCTTTATAGGTGAAATGAGTTTCTTGTAGGCAGCATATAGTTGGGTCTTGTTTTTTAATCTATCCAGCAACTCTTTGTCTACTTTCAAATTTTAAAACTAGTTACTCGTGTCATATTTTTAAAATTTGTAACAGAGAAAAAAATTGGGCTGCAACAATGTGACTACAGCAGTGAAACAGATTTTCTTGGCACAATCGCAATCTTTGGTCTCCTATCCACACTCCCTATACATGTGGCTCTTACCTTCTGCTCTACAGCTCTGCCTTAGCTCCATCTTGCTCTTACCTGTTTTTGAGTCTGTCTCCTGTCTGTCATTTCAAAAGGCAAAATTGACTCTCTGCCCACCACCTCCCATAGCACCTGAATGAATGAATGAATCTCCAAAGGAACTGAGAATGCCAAGGACACAGGGAAGAAATGTAATAGCTAAACAGGGTTTAAGAGAAGAGCAGTGAATTATGTCTAAGTTACTGTGTTAGGAAGACTGAAAGCAGGGAATTGAGTTTGTGAAATTCAAAGTAAAATATGCACAAGATTGGTATAGATCAAATATGCTGTAAAGCTAATGAAAAAGTGGGATTTATCTTTACTAGACAGGGGTGGCCTCATTACCCACTCATGTCTTCTCTTCTCGTCTTTCCTGCCACTTGTGAGTAATGAGGCTCTAGGAGAGAAACCATGCATCCTGGACACACCTTGTACACTCTTTCTCTGCCTCTGTTCCACACGGAGCATGGGCGTGCAGCTAAAAAACTGCAAGCTGCAAGACAGCGCATTTCAGATCATCAAGCTCAGTTAACTAATTCACTCTCACCCACTCCTCTTGGCCACACTCATACTCTCTTAGTAAAGAAGACAAATGTATGACCAATTTGTTTCCTTGAAAATGTCAGCTTGTAAAAATTTCCAAGTAACCTTGTCCGGCAGGATGGCCTGTTTTTAAATTTCGCTGTGTCAGTGGGTCTTTCCAATGAAGATTCAGTGTTTCCAGGACTGTTTTTTAACCTCCTCATCTACACAGACACTCTGATCAGATTGACAGATGTAAGTCATATCCCATTAAAGTGACCACAATTTTGTATTTGCCTCTTAAGTCTAAGGGAATTCATTTTGTTTGGAGTGCCCTAAATCCATTTTAAAGATTAAGAAAAATCTTTTTCCTTTTTGCATTTATTTTCCATGCCTTGCTCTTTTTGTTTGAGTCTGAGTTGAAGATTCAGAATCAGAATAGCAAGAGTAAATGAGCCACATAACACGGGCTCATTCTAAAATGCAAATTGAGAGGTATGCGATTTTTCAGCAGCACCCGAGTGGGGAGACCGTGTGTGTGAGGGGCTCTGTGGCCGTCTCATTGGCCATAACAGTGCCCCCTTCTGGCCTCTGTCTTGTTGCCCAGACCAGGAACTGGACACAGACCCAGTGCCACTTTGTCACTGAGTGTCAGCTGACACTGTTTCTGTTTGGCACTGTGCTGTGATCTGTGCTCTAAACCCTCATTTACTCTGTGCACATATTTACTCTGCAAGGGAAATAATTACTGCCTAGAAACCAGTCCAAGAAACGCTGAATGCTTCAATTTTCTAAAAATATGTATCTCAAAAAAAAAGTTTGGATTTTTTTTCTACTTTCATTTGCTCTCATTTTGAAGGATTAAGTGGAATATAATAGTTGTGATGACGAGTAATCATTCTGCAACGTGGGACTGAATTCAATGCACACCTGTAGGGGAATCCAAAATGCTGCCACTGTTGTGCATAGAGCAGTTCCTGCGGTTCATTTGTCTTAGGTACTCAGATGTCATGGGAGCCAATTCCAGACTGGAGGCCAGCAAGGCAAGGGCGTAGATCACCCAGGTGTCTTCAAAATAAATGCCTCTCTCTTCCACCGCCCTGAATATTCCCACTGAATCTCATCTCTCCCAGAGTCCTGGCGTTTCTGTTCCTATGGGTTATTTTTTCTAGGCATCCTCTCCCATGAAGACATATCTGAGGTGATAGACAATTACCACCAAAGATTTAGTTTCTAGACTGTCTAGCACATTCTTTCCCCTGGGGAATAAACCCAAAGCCAAGATCAAGCCTGAGCCCATCAGACAAGCATATTACTCAGTTTGTAAGGAAGAGTTTTTCAGGGACCTGGGTGAGTTGAAATTATCGAATTTACAGCTAGTCCACCATAGATCAAGTGCAAGACTGTTTCTTCTTAAAGATTTCTGCACTTTTTTCAGTTCCTTAACAATAATTATTTCACGTCAGGAGAGAATTTTCCCAAACTGAAAATTCAGCATCACTGAATCACAGAGATTTGCACACATCCTGTAAGAAAATCAGCCCGGAAGCTGGGAGTGACAGAAAGATGCTGTGCTGTCTCCCTCACTGTGTGTGAAAGGCCCAGGCTTGTCCTGATTCCGCCTGAGCCTCCCTTGCTGTCCTGTTCCTGGTCTAGAAAGTCAGGCTGATGACACCTCCTTGCAGGGCTGAGAGGTCACATGTGAGTGTGTACTTGAGATGGCAGCATGGCCTTTGATTTGTCCATTGTTGTACCTTACATGGTGGCTGTTTTTTAACAATGAAAATGCCTGGTTAAAAAATAAAAAACAGGGGTCTCTGACACTCCCTTGCCCCAGCACCGACAAGGCCCTGTCCCTGTCCACACTCTTCACTCACTGCCCTCCTCCACTCCTCTTTAGGGCCTTGGCACTGGCTGTTCTCCAGTCCCCGGCTGACTCTTTTTCATCCCGGTCTTTGCTCAAGAAAAAGAGCCTACAGCCAAAGTGACTGTAAACCTTCAAACCTACAAACCTACTGTCTTTTTTTTTTTTGTTTTTTGCCTACAAACATACTGTCCCACTGCGCAGTGTACGTCTACCTTCTCTTACCATCCGTCTCCCCACTACTGGAATGGAAATCCTTCTAGGGATGCCTCTTTCTTTCACTAAATGTGTCCCACCACCTACAGCAGCATCTGGCACATCACAGGTCCTCAACTAATGTTTATGGAGAAGGAATGTGTATTTCACATGTCAACATGTAATGTCACTAGCTTTTTAAATTCTTGGTTCCATTGGTAAAGTACCAATTCTAGTAAAAAGACAAAGTTGTCATTTCTCTAAAGTGGTTTTGCTAATGACGGTAATAACAAAATGATAATGATACAGACTTACAATTTTTCTGGGATATCCTTTAATGTCAGTGTTATACTGAGGCTGTAAAACATCTTCAGAATTAGTTATTAGATGAGCCATCAGCTCATTGCATTAGAATAATCATGAAATGTTTGCTTTCTAGGAGTTATTTGTTTTCCTGATTTTAGGGCATGTCTCCAATGTACTCTCTTTCAGGGATAAGCTTATGGACCATTACCAAGACATCAGCAAAGCACTCACCAAAATCGATAAATCCAAAACCAACTACATATCCATATGCAAGATGCAGAAAGTGCTGGAAGAATGTGGCTGTTCTCTTACAGAAGAGGAGCTGACCCATCTGCTAAACAGGTCTTTTTTGACTAAGTTAAATATGTTTCTTGCAGCCCTGAAAAACATGCTGGAGAGTTCCCTTTGTTTCTTCTGTGTGTCTACCCAAACAGTCTTCTGAGATGAAAATATCCTCTATGTCTTCATGTTGGCTGGGCTACATAAGAATGGGTTTGCGTTCACCCAGAGCAATAAGAGAAAGCCCTCTAACAAATGCATAATTTTCCTGATGTGACTTAGTACCAGTGCCACCATTTCTTAATACTAGTGGGGACTTTTGTTTGTTTGTTTTGTTTTTTTGAGATGGAGTCTCACTTTGTCACCCAGGCTAGAGTGCAGTGGTGCAATCTTGGCTCACTGCAACCTCCCCCTCCTGTGTTCAAGTGATTCTCCTGCCTCAAGATCCCAAGTAGCTGGGATTGCAGGCACCCACCACCCTGCCCAGGCAATTTTTGTATTTTTAGTAGAGATGCGGTTTCACCTTGTTGGCCAGGCTGTTCTCAAACTCCTGACCTCAAATGATCTGTCCACTTTGGTCTCCCAAAGTGCTGGGATTATAGGCGTGAGCCACTGTGCCTGTCCAACATTAGTTTTCATTTTATCCAAGTTATTCAGGCACTTTGAATCACATAGTTCTACCAGGCTCGTTACTAAAACCAGCAGTCCATTTGCCCTGCTTCGGCCCTTATTTACCTACCCAGAGTCAACAACTTCCAACACTTCTGACTGATGCCTTTTGATAGTGAATGTCCCTACTTCTAAGTGACAGGCATATATAACTACTTCTTGATTTTTCACTTTTAGGCAGTTTCTATTGACTTACTACCAGGAAAATGTGGGTTTAATGCTTTTCCACCCATCCCATGCCACCAACCATCTCACCCCCCTCAGCCTCCATTACCCCACACAAAAATTTACCTCCACATACCACATGCCTGTTGTACTGCTGCATCACTCCACATTCTGGATCTACATTGCTGTGACTAGCTCATCACTTTTCTTTTCTACATAGCATTTTTCCCTGAAGTCAAATTATCCTATTTCTTCTGTTCATTTAGTTTCCTATGTACTTATTCTCTTACCAGTTAAATCCTCAACTTAATCTCTTTCCAATGCATTGAGACATATCAGCTAATGTGTCAGCTTCATCTTCTTGAAGATTGCCCTTTTCGTATTCAATTCTTAGAAAGTTTCTTGACTTATTTTATTAATGAATTCCTCCCCTGTTCTGTTCTTCTGAAACTCCTATTGTTATTGAATACTGAACTGCCTGAACTGTTCTCTTATATATTTTAAATCTTTATTTCTCCTTTCTCTTTTTCTTTTTGTTCCACCTTCCAGGAGAGTTCAATTTTAGCTCCCAGTCCTTCTTTGAGATTTTTGTTTCTGCTACCATACTTACATTTCTGATTACTAGAGCTCAGTTTTGTTCTGTATGTGTTCCTTTTTTATAACATCCCATTCTTGTTTCGTGGATGCACTATATCATTTCTCTGAAGATATTAACAATAGGCTTTTTAAAAAAGTTTTCTTTACCAGATAAATCTCTCCTCTGTGTTGCTTTTAAAAACTACTATTCATGTTGGATATTTTCTTCAAAAATATGTCTATACTAAGAGTGGGGGACAGGGTACTGAGTTGCAGATTAGAAGTTCTACACAGGTAGGTGGAGTTTGTTGACTTTGGTCTGAACTGTAGGGTAATCTGGCTTGAAGTTTTCTTGAGGAGCCCCCAATGTCAATATCTTTAAAACTTTTTGTTTGGCCTTGTCAGATTTACCAGAGAATAGAGTTGCCAGATAAAATACAGGATGATCAGTTAAATTAGGACTTCAGATAGATAATAATTTTAAAACATAAGTATGTCTCATGCAATACTTATACTAAAGTATAAGTATTGGGATATACTTATACTAAAAATGTTGTTGTTTATCTGAAATTATAATTCAATTATGTACCCCAGTAGATTTAGTGTGTTGATTTGTTTATTTGTTTGCTAACTGGGCAACCCAATGAGAGGAGACTCTTTGGTCTCCTGTTGTCAATACTTTGGGAGCTCACTGGACACAGAAAGCTGGATGTTTTACCAGTCACTGTGGTAAGCTGAATCATGTTTCCCAAAGATATCCAGGTACTGATTCCTGGAATCTGTGAACAATACCTTTACCCATGTGACTAAGCTAGGTACCTGAGGAAAGGAAGATGAGCCTGGATTATTTGGATAAGCCCTCAGTGCCATCACAGGTGTCCTTAGGGAGGCAGAGGGAGATTTGACACAGACAGATGAAGGCCATGTGACCAGGAAAGCAAAGGTAGAGTGATGTGACCACAAGCCACGGACTGCCAGCTGCTCCCAGAAACTGGAAGAGGCAAAGAACAGATTCTCCCCTAGAATTTCCAGGGAGAGTGCACTCATTTTAGCTTCTGGTGTCCAGAACTATTGGAGAATCAATGTGTGTTGCTTTAAGCCACCAGATATGTACTATTTTGTTACAAAGCCAAAGGAAACTAACAGTCGGTGTATGCACTTTTTATTAATCCTCCCCTTTTCATTAAGAATTCTCCCTAGCTTAGACTAGGACAGATGCCCTCCTGCTCAGAAACACCATCTCCAAGTCTTCCATTTGGGTGGGGAGGGACAGGCACTCAGGCACTTGAAGTCTGGCAAGGGGTCTGGGGTTTACATGCTTCTCACACAGTCTTTTAATCAATCCTATTTTTAACTCCTCCTTTAGCTTCACTTCTAGATAGAGCTATCACCAGTTCCAGGACCTCGGAGGGTATTTGCAGGGTATCTTGGATTTTCCCTCTTGCACATTCCTTCTGTTTGTTTTAGGAAGTGATTTCTTGGATTCCGACACATCTATTCCCATTATCCATAGATTCTCCAGCAGCTGTTTTCTTCTTCCACATAATCCTCGTCCTTAGGAGTTGCCAGCAGTCCCAAACTCCAAGCACCAGAATCACATCAAGGGCTCATTAAAACTCAGATTGTTGGGCCCCTCCCGCAAAGTTTCTGAATCACTGGGCCTGGGAATGTGCATTTATAACAAGGGCTCAGGTGATGCTGACGCTGCTGGACCCTTGCACCCCACCTTGAGAACCACTGTTGTATTCCTTTTTAAAACTCCCTTTGCTGTCATTTTAGAAGGCTTTTGAGTGGTAACAGAGCCAGATATGTGTGTTCAAGCCACTTTATTTAACTGGAAGTCTTATTCTAATGCACTTCTACCCTGAAACAACTCGAGCTAATTGCCTCCTCTGACTCCTATTTCTGTCTATATAACTTAGTTGTGCTGACAGAATGTATGATTCTTCTGTCCCTCACTTTGTAAGGGGACAATATTAGCAACACTTTTCTCTTTAAAAAATTGTTTATCCCTTGAGTCCAGGAATTCAAGGCCACAGTGAACTCTGATCACACCACTGTACTCCAGCCTGGGCAACAAAAGTGAGGCCACATCACACACACACACACACACACACACACACACACACACATCACTGGTTGCTCAAGAGTTTGCAGTATACATTTATAGCTAGGCTGAGCCCATCTTTAAGTAACACAATAGAACTTCATGGGAGGTACAGGAAAGTCATAACAGGGTATTTCCAATTTCTCCCTTCTGTTCCTGATAACATGACTGTCATTCATTTATCTGTGTGCTATAATCACCCAATACATGGTTGTTATTATTACTCCTTTGATCAACTAAGAGTGAGAAAATAAAAGACGTTATTTTACCGTTATTTATTCCTTCTCTGACACTCTTTCTTTATTGATGTAGATCTGTGTGATTTTCCTTCTCTCTGAAGAACGCCTTTTTACATTTCCTGAAGGGCAGGGCTGCTGGTAATGAAGTCTCTCAGTTTTGTCTGTCTGAGAAAGTCTTTATTTCTCCTTTATTTCTGACAGAGAATACTGGATTTAGCATTCTAGGCTTGAACTGTTGAAATATTTCAACACTTCAAATATTTCAGTCCACTCTCCTCTTGCTTGCATGATTTCTGGCAAGAAGTCTGATATATTATAATTCATTATCTTTGTTCCTCTATAGATAAGGTTTTTTTCCTAAGATTTTCTGGCTTCTTTCAAGATTTTCTCTTTGTCTTTAGTTTTCTCCAGTTTGAATATAAGATGTTTAGGTATAGATTTGGGGGCATTTATCCTGCTTTGTGTTCTCCGAGCTTCCTGGATCTGTGATTTGCTGTCTGTCATTAATTTTGGAAAAGTTTCTACCATTATTAATTAAAATGGGTTTTTGTTTTTGTTTGTTCTTTTGTCTTGTTTCTTTGTTTGTTTATTTGCTTATTTCTCTTTCTCTTTCTGGTATTCCAATGATGCAGGTGTTATATTTTGAAATTTTCCCACAGTCTTTGGATATCTTGTCCTATCCACCCCGCCCCCATTCTTTTTTTGTTTGCATTTCAGTTTGAGAGGTTTCTACTGACATACTTACACCAATTGCTGAAAATCATACCACATTTGTCTGAGATCCTTTGGGCTGCTATTTTAAAAATATACAAACTGGGTGACTTATAAACAACAGAAATTCATTTCTCACAGTTCTGGAGGCCAGGAAGTCCAGTATCAAGGTACCAGCAGATTTAGTGTCTGGTGAAAATGCCCTGGATCATAGATGTCTGTCTTTTCACTGTAACTTCATGTGGTGGAAGGGACAAGAGTCTCCCTGGGGCCTCTTTTGTAAAGGCACCAATCTCATTCATGAGGACTCTTTTTTCATGACCTAATCGCCTCCTAAAGGCCTCGCCTGCTAGAAGGTCATTACCTTAGGAGTTAACATTTTAACATATGAATTTTGGGGGTACACAGTCAGACCATAGCAACATTTTAAGTTTGTTTCATATGTATACTATGATTTTATTGGATAGGTTGTTTCCTGGAGTTTAATTTATTCTTCATCTTCCTTACAATATTTGCCTTTGTTTTACCTTGTCAAAGACAAATTCATACTTAAGTAAAAGAGACTTTATCTGAAAAGACTATTGCAACAGGGAGAGGAAGATTATTATTAGAGAGAGAATGCCCCAACCATGAAATCTATAAGCATCTCAAAGAGCAAGCAGAAGAGGGCTTTTCTTTAATAGGGAAGAGTAAACAAGGATAGAAAGAACCAAGCATGGGGAGTAAGATGAACGGATGGTGTGATCAGACATCTAGGCAAGAAACATTTTGTCTGTGGTAAGAGTCCTTGAGGAGCTATCAGGGAGGAGCTATTCCACATTCTGATGATGTTTAGGCTGAGATGGGTCCAACTTCAAGGTTCTGGAGAAAGGAGAGTAGCTTGACTAAACTGTGGTCAGTTAGCAGGTGTTTTGTCCAGATTAGTCAGTGGGTACAAACAGTTCAGCTAATAATTTATGAGAATGAGAATGGGAATTTGGAGTGTCTGTGTACTTGTTATTAGAGGTAAACCTTGGGATATCTATGAATCTTTTCTAAGTCATATGGGGAAAAGGTAGTTCTTTGCAGTAGACTTATCCAGGGATATTAGGTTGGGGTGATTTCTTTAACCATCACTTTTTTCTATAACAGGACTCAAATAAAGTTCAAAATTTTTCACCTTCAGGGTTCCCTAGCTTTCTATTCCACTTTCTGTTCTCTTGAGTTTATTTTCCCCCGGCATCTCTATTGGAGAACCTGGTCCCCCATTTTCCTGCTCTAGGTCCGTGATCCCAAGAGCATCCTGCACTGCCTCCACTATTGTCTCGGCTGAATCCCGTCTCCTATATCCCACATCTCTTTATTTCTTAATTTACATTCTTCTTTTGCTGGAATACTTCCTGAAGTAATCTCATAAGAATGGGTGGACAGGAAGTACATTTTCTGAGTTCTTACTGAACTGAAACTTTTAAAATTCTTATTCACACGCATGGCTGCCTTCTCTGAGCATAGTGTCTTAGGAAGAAAATTAATTCTCTTAAAAGTCTGAAGATATTAATCCATTGTGTTTGAGCTATGAGAAGTCCAGTGCCTGTGTGTGTATGTTTGTGTGTGCGCGCACACGTATGTATAGAAAGGAAGGACCATTTCATCCTCAAATGCCTATATATTTTTTCTTCCTTAAACAGGATCTCCTCTCACTGAATCTATTTCCAGCTGTACAAAAATTCATGTGCATTCAATGAATAAATCATGGAAAAATAGCAGCAGATAAATTAACCAAATGATTATAAGAAATTCTTGTTAAAACATAGTTAGGCTTGATACTTTCATAAACAACAACAAAAGGACTGTGGGATGTCTGTAGCGCACCTTTCAATGGGGGTGATCAACTTTTTTATGCACTGAAACCTTAATAAGGATCCATTGCTCGGTTGCTTGTTTCTTCTCAAAGACCTCTTGATGATAAACATCTCTGTTATTTGTAATTATATGTAGATTATTCTTTTCTAGATCCAAAATAGACTTTTCTAAATACGACTGAGATTAGCATATGCATATGATTTTATTACTACATTTTAATACCACATTGGCAATTTATCCTGCTGATGAAATAGTGTTGATTGTCCTTTTCCTCTGTGTCTCCATCATGCAAGCCGACCTGATGCAGGGCCTGTGCAAGGCGGCTCTGCAGCTGTGGGTTGGAAAAGCTCAGCTTTGGCTCGACTTCTTTAGAGCAGATAACTGAGGCACTGGAAACTTCTCTCTCCCGTTTACCAGCATTCAAAGCTCTTCTGGGTTGACACTTGTACCCAATCCTGCTGAGAGAGAGTTTAGGTGTTTAAGTGCCAGCAATCCCCCCACCCCGGGAATTGAACTTGGAATACAATTAAACTTTATTTTGAATTATCTTGCATCTTTATTTTTTTTTTCTTTTTCTTTCTTTTTTTTATTGCATTTTAGGTTTTGGGGTACATGTGCAAAACATGCAAGACATTTGCATAGGTACACACATGGCAGTGTGTTTTGCTGCCTTCCTCCCCTTCACCCACATTTGGCATTTCTCCCCAGGCTATCCCTCCCCAGTATTATATGTTCCATGAGACTTTTGGATTTTACCTCACAATTTAGTCTTCCAGAACTTAAGTAATTTCTTCTGTGTCAGAGTCAAGGAGATTCAGGAACCTCTGTTTCCACAGGGGTGTCCTTGCTGAGCCATCTATGCAGGTGGAATTTTTATTGGAGAAAACACTCAGCTAGATAGGTTTTGCAAAATGTCTTTTGAGTGCTTTCAGTTTGACAACTTCATTTCAACCACTCCTGAAAGAGAATGTAATGTATGTCTTACTCCGTTCCTCTTCGTTTCACTGTCTTTGACATACTTCCCTTCTTTCCAATCCCACTGCCATTTCTAAGTCCAGGTCCTCATTAGTTAAGGCCTCCATGACCCCAAGAGCCTCCCATGCAGGCTCCTGCTCTCTCACCACTGCCACCACCCCACAGTCTCACTTCCAGACCGTCTTTGAGCTGCTGTCAGGTTTATCTTTCCATGATACTGCTCTGCAAATGTCACATCCCTGCCAACACACCTTCACGTGCCCCCATCATAAGGCTGGATTCTCAGCCAGACCCCTCCCTTACCATCTTGTGCAAGGCCACGAACCCCGCCATGTCCAGCCTTCAAGCCTCAGGTCCTCAGACCAGGCAGCTGTGGCCCCGCACTTGGCAGTGAACAGCACTCTCACATCTCATCACCCCGTGTCCTCATATTATAGGATGTGTGTGCCTACCTGAGAGCAGAGCTAATTGTCATGTCTACACATACAAGGCAGGGAATGGTGTCTTAAAATTACTCATTTTCCTCACATTGCTCCGTGCTCAGCAACTGTTTGTTGAATGAATAGGCAGTAAGGGGGCTTTTTAAGTGAATATGTTCTTTTCTTCCTTTTGGGACAAGTTGCGGAGTCAGCCGGCGTGATAATTCCATCAATTACCTCGACCTCCTGAGAGCACTGGAGGACAGCAAGTCCACAGGAATTCAGCCCAAGGAAAAAGAAGAGAGCATGCCAATCAATTTTGCAACACTGAATCCACAGGAGGTTGTGAGGAGGATCCAGGAAGTAGTTGAGTCCTCCCATCCAGCTTTGTCCACGGTATGACAGGCTGAAAGTGCTTTATTGTAAAAACTCATCTTGATTCATGAAAATGCCTCTCAGCCCCACCCTGAAACTCCCACCTCTGTCCATTCTTCTTAGGGTGTCTAGTTAGCCAAGAGCAGAGTCTTTATGTGAGCAGCGTGTATCCACTCTTCCACCCCGGCACATGCTCTCCAAGGTGGGAGCGCTCACCATTTAGCAAATGCTGGTTCTGGGGTGAGGTCACGGGGCTCTGGGCAACAAAGGCAGAAAGCAGAGGCCCCTGGGGAGAGTGGGCTCAGCACACTCTGTGAGCTCTCAGCGCAGCCAAGCACCGGGTCTGCAGAGATGGACTCAAGGTGGCCTTGAAGAGGTTGAACTGGGCTGAGCTGTGGCACAGAGACTTCATTGTGAAGTCCCCCAGGAGCAAGGGCAGTCACCTGAGTAAGTTGACATTCTACAGCCTCCATCTGCGTGGTGCTTTAGACGGTGTACAGAATGATGCCTGTGTGTAGGGAGTGACGCCTGCGTGTAATGAATGAGGCCTGCGTGTGGAGAGTGACGTCTGCGTGTAGGGAGTGACGCCTGCGTGTACGGAGTGATGCCTGCGTGTACGGAGTGACGCCTGCGTGTACGGAGGGACGCCTGTATGTAGGGAGTGACGCCTGCGTGTACGGAGTGATGCCTGCATGTATGGAGTGACAGCTGCGTGTACGGAGGGACGCCTGTATGTAGGGAGTGACGCCTGTGTGTACGGAGGGACGCCTGCGTGTAGAGAATGAAGCCTGCGTGTACGGAATGACGCCTACGTGTACGGAATGACGCCTGCGTGTAACGAATGAGGCCTGCGTGTGGAGAGTGACGTCTGCGTGTAGGGAGTGACGCCTGCGTGTACGGAGTGATGCCTGCATGTACGGAGTGACAGCTGCGTGTACGGAGGGACGCCTATATGTAGGGAGTGACGCCTGCGTGTACGTAGTGATGCCTGCATGTACGGAGTGACAGCTGCGTGTACGGAGGGACGCCTGTATGTAGGGAGCGATGCCTGCATGTACGGAGTGACAGCTGCGTGTACGGAGGGACGCCTGTATGTAGGGAGTGACGCCTGCGTGTACGGAGTGATGCCTGCATGTACGGAGTGACAGCTGCGTGTACGGAGGGACGCCTGTATGTAGGGAGTGACGCCTGCGTGTACGGAGTGATGCCTGCATGTACGGAGTGACAGCTGCGTGTACGGAGGGACGCCTGTATGTAGGGAGTGACGCCTGCGTGTACGGAGTGATGCCTGCATGTACGGAGTGACAGCTGCGTGTACGGAGGGACGCCTGTATGTAGGGAGTGACGCCTGCGTGTACGGAGTGATGCCTGCATGTACGGAGTGACAGCTGCGTGTACGGAGGGACGCCTGTATGTAGGGAGTGACGCCTGCGTGTACGGAGTGATGCCTGCATGTACGGAGTGACAGCTGCGTGTACGGAGGGACGCCTGTATGTAGGGAGTGACGCCTGCGTGTACGGAGTGATGCCTGCATGTATGGAGTGACAGCTGCGTGTACGGAGGGACGCCTGTATGTAGGGAGTGACGCCTGTGTGTACGGAGGGACGCCTGCGTGTAGAGAATGAAGCCTGCGTGTACGGAATGACGCCTACGTGTACGGAGTGACGCCTGCGTGTAACGAATGAGGCCTGCGTGTGGAGAGTGACGTCTGCGTGTAGGGAGTGACGCCTGCGTGTACGGAGTGATGCCTGCATGTACGGAGTGACAGCTGCGTGTACGGAGGGACGCCTGTATGTAGGGAGTGACGCCTGTGTGTACGGAGGGACGCCTGCGTGTAGAGAATGAAGCCTGCGTGTACGGAATGACGCCTACGTGTAGGGAGTGACGCCTGCATGTAACGAATGACGCCTGCATGTGGAGAGTGACGCCTGCATGTGGAGAGTTACACCTGCGTGTGGGGAGTGACAATTGCGTGTAGGTAGTGACGCCTGTGTAACGAATGACGCCTGCGTGTGGTGTGACGCCTGCGTGTGTGGGGAATGACGCCTACGCATGGGGAGTGACTCCTGCATGTGGGAAATGATGCCTGCGTGTAACGAATGACGCCTACATGTGGGGAGTGATGCCTGCGTGTGTGAGGAATGACGCCTGCATGTAGGGAATGACGCCTGCGTGTAACAAATGATGCCTGCGTGTAGGGAGTGATGCCTGTGTGTGGGGAAGGATGCCTGCACGTAGGGAATGATGTGTGTGTGGAGTAATGCTGTGGACCCTGCTGTTGTCTTAGGAAATTGTGCTTGGAACCAGCCTCCTGGTGAGGTGGCGTTCCCAGGTGAGTTTTCTTTTGTGTCAGTGTGGAGAAGGGAAGATGCCATTTGCAGAGGGCAGGCCTTGGAGATGAACAAGGCAGCACGTCGGAACCATCCTGTGGGAAGCTGGCACCCACAGCCCAAACAGTCGCAGCAACCCGGACTGAAAGATGAGCTCAACAACTCTCAGTCCCTACCATGAGCATCCCTTCTGACATCATGGAGTCCTGGCGCCACACACTCTAGAGGCTTCTCGGGGCCCTGGGGCCAGAAGCCCTAATGAGAGTCCATGAGTCTTTTTCTGTTTGATCATAACCTTGTAAGGTGGGGCTCCTGATTCCACCCTACAGGAGGGAAAAGTGAGGCTCAGAGTGAATAAACTTGCCCAGGGTCACATAGGGCTACAGAGAAGAGCCCAGAACACGAGGAGAAAAGGGAAATGGACTTGTCCCAGCCCTTCTTTTCCATATCCAGGTGGCTTGAAGAATGAAAGCCCTGAAGAGCTTTCATTGAGATGTGCTCTTTACTGACCATGACTTCTTATCGGATCAACTTTAGTGTCTTGACTTTTGAAGAAATCGAATCTAGTGACCCTTTTAGGATATCAGACTCTTGGAGGTGGGCCAAAATAATGGAAGACCAATGGAAATCACTCACTCTCCACTCCTGAGACTTAAACTTTTTTTTTTTTGGTAAATCACATCCCAATTTCCTTGGTGTAGGGAAGCAAGGTGGGCTCCAGAGTTCCGGTGTGAGGGATTAGTGGGGAAGGCTGCCTGGCCAGCTGAGCGTAGCAGGATGCTCCCCTTCACACCTGCGCCTGCTGCTGCCGCTGCGGCACAGTTGGCTGTGTACATTATTATGATCATTCTCCTTAACATTTGAGACCCCCACGGGTTAGGTACCTGGATGGAGGCATTTTCCAGTAAACTTAGGAGAACTTACACCCACCTTCCGAGTTAAGTCTATTTTTATAGTGAAGAAGCTGAAGTTTAGAAAGGTTCAGGGCTTAACGGTGGGCAGCCCAGCCGAAGTTCCCAGACGGATTCCTGGCAGTAGGGGTAGGGGATTTCCCACTATACACAGCAACCTCGTGCTACCACGGACTACATGAAAACATGCAGCTATCTGACATTTTAAGCTTAATTTGATTACACATATGCCATCACCCATTGGGCCAGTGGGGTGTGCCTAATTAGTCCCCAGTGAGCATTAACCACAAGGGTGTATGGGGTTTGCAGGCAAGCCAAATTCTTCCTTTAGAAAAGATCTTAATCTACCCCTGGGTGCAGATTTCCTGGTGCAATAAAAATTATTTTATTTCGACAGATGGAAAAAAAATGTGCTTTCTTTATATAGCACATTTTTGCACTTTTTCAGTTCAACTACTCTACTGTAGGATTCGCAATGCATGCCCCAGCCACTCCAGCGCAGCCACGGGGCAGCTTCTCATGATGCGGGACCACTTGGGCTCTGGCAGAGGCTCAGGAAAGGACAGCAGGCTCAGTGTACAAGCCTTGCGGTGAAGGACGGGTGGGGTTAGGGTGGTCCCTCTAATGAATACTTAAAGGAACTACAATGTAAGCGTCAGGAGAGCTTGAGCAAGTTACCCTCTACTCTGCTCTGTAAAACAGGGATCTTGGGAGCAGGGGCGAGGCTTCCATTGCGAAGGTTACAGGGGCTCAGGACCAGTTTTCCTCTTTATTCTCCTTCTTCCCCACATCCAAATCAGAGCAAATAAGGAGAATTTCCTCTAGAACTCATAAGATATGAGTTCTATGTTCCCATCTCACTTGTCTTAGTCCTTCAATAATGGTGCATTTATTTATTTAGTAATTTAGAATTTACAAGGTACTTTTATATACTAGGTTTCATTTGCATTCAGCAGAAACAGTACTTAAGGAAAGTGTTTTAGAAGTATACATTTGACAGTAGCATTTGCCTGAAAGAAAAATTTTCTTTCTTTTTAGGCATTTTCTGCATTGGATAAAGAGGATACAGGATTTGTAAAGCCTACAGAATTTGGACAAGTTCTTAAGGATTTCTGTTACAACCTAACGGACAATCAGTATCATTATTTTTTGAGGAAACTAAGAATTCATCTGGCCCCCTATATAAATTGGAAATATTTTCTCCAGAACCTTAGCTGTTTCCTTGAGGAGGTAAGAGTGTCTGCAGCACATAAGCATCTCTTTGAAAATGAGCTAAAATTAGTTTTTACAAAATGGATAATTGATTAAAACCGTATCAGATAAATTGGCAATCACCTCATGTAATTAGCTCATTCTAAATGAAAACCTGGTATAAATTCCACACAGAGTATTAGAAGGTGAATATGCATCCTTTACTTTGTTGGAAAGTTTTATTTCATTTTATCTGAATTTTCCGAGAAGTTTGGGAGCTTGTCTATCTGGTTGTTTTAGAGTTCTGAGGAATCTTAGTTACAGAAGATGATCTGGGAAGTGCGATTACTAAAGCAAACAGCATGAACATTTTTGAGGTCTGCGGTTGATAATAACAGCAGCAAACACTTTAGCATGTTTTCTGTGTACCCGCCACTACTTCTAGTCCTTTGTGTATTAACAGGTGTAGTCATTTTGAGGTCACGATGAGATACAGCTATTAATATCCCACTTGAGAGACGAGGCCTTGGCATGGAGACATTAAGTATTATCCACAGTTACCCAGCTAGTGAGTGGTGGGTGGAGCTGATTGGTAAGCCTGGACTCCAGGTTCCTAAACACTGTCTTTTTTGTGATTTTTTTTTCATCTTTGCCATTTAGATGACTTTCTAAACAAAATACACTATTTTTGAGCTTTATATAAGTAATAGTATGTTGAATGTTGTATCTGCAACTTACTTTTTCTTGCTTATAGTAATGTATTTAAGATTTATCCATGTTTATATGCTGGCTTTAGTTCATGCACTTAAGCTGCTATAAAAAGGTGGTGGCTCATACCTGTAATCCCAGCACTTTGGGAGGCTGAGGTGGGCAGATTGCCTGAGGTCAGGAGTTCAAAACCAGCCTGGCCAACATGGTGAAATCCCATCTCTACTGAAAATACAAAAAAATTTAGCTGTGTATGGTGGCAGGCACATCTGTAATCCCAGCTACTCAGGAGGCTTAGGCTGGAGAATCACTTAAACCCGGGAGACGCAGGTTGCAGTGAGTTGAGATCATGCCACTGCACTCCAGTCTGGGCAACAGAGCAAGACTCTGTCTCAAAAAAAAAACACAATTTATTAACTGAATATATTATTGAGAATAACATGCTGCCACTCAGTCATCACCCTCCTGATAAAGAGCATGCAGGGTGTTCTCAGTTTCCTTCATTACAAGCAAAGCACCCAGTCACCCTTCTGTGCCCGTCTCCTTGTGTGCACACACAGGAGCTATTCTGCATGTAATTGCTGATAGGAGGGCGGCTCCATGTTCAGCTTCCCAGACACCACCAGCATCCTCCTAAGTGGTCATCCCAGTGTACAGCCCCACCAGTGGCACAGGAAAGTCCCCCTAAGTGGTCGTCCCAGTGAACAGCCCCATGAGCGGCACAGGAGAGTCCCCCTAAGTGGTCATCCCAGTGCACGGCCTCACCAGCAGCACAGGAGAGTCCTCCTAAGTGGTCGTCCCAGTGAACAGCGCCACCAGTGGCACAGGAGAATCCCCCTAAGTGGTCGTCCCAGTGAACAGCCCCACCAGTGGCACAGGAGAATCCCCCTAAGTGGTCGTCCCAGTGTACGGCCCCACCAGCGGTACACGAGAGTTCCTGACACTCCACATTTCTGCTGTCCCTGAGTATTGTTCAATGTTTTAACTTCTGCCATCTGATCATTAGTAAGGTCAAACACTTTCATGGGTTGGCAGCTATTCAGGTCTTGTCATCTACAAGTGACCTCAAAGGTTTTCAGTCCTTGGTTGGCATGGGGGTTGCAAATACCTTCCATTGGTCTTTGGCTTGTCTTTGCTCTTATTTTATAGTGACCCTCCCTATTTTTATGATTAAGTTTTTTGTCATTTTAAAAGAAATACATATTCATGGGAGACACTGGGGAAAATGCAAATATATATATATATAAAGGATAGCAGTGATCTAGACCCCATGGTGATGGGAATGATGACAAGAACAACTTAGCCGCCATTTAGTGAGCACCTACTAAGCTCAGGGCCCTTCACATTCACTTTCTCATCTCATTGTCATGCCCAGTGGGGAAGGCAGAATAGACAGGTTCTGGGAAGTCAAGTAGCCACCTGAGCTCAGCAAGGAGTGGCAAGCCAGAGGGTTTGGCTTCAGAGCTGGTGTTCTTTCTACACACCATCCTGCCTTAGAGATCTTTTTTTTTCCTATTCTTAGTGCATTTTTTTTACAGAGTGGAGATGACAGTGTGTATATAGTTGTGTATCCTGCTTTTTTTCACTTAACGTTAAATTGTGCCATGTCAGCTAAAGGTTTTCCAAACATCAGTTAAGAGATCTATATAGCTTTCTACCCACTCCCTTATTTTTAAGCATTTAGGGTTCTTTTTCCAGCTTTTGCCTCTGTAATTTGCAGTGAACACTTTGTATGTAAACCTATCTCCACATTTTGGGTGTGTTCCTTAGGAAACATCCAAGAAATAAAATAACTGGGGTCAAAGGATAGGAATAGTTTTATTGAACTTAAAACAGCCCCTTTTTTTAAAATAATTCTGTTATATTGGATTGGAATATATGACATGACCATTTTCAAAGTCATAAATGGTTGAATACTGACAATTTCATATGGGTTTAAGCTAACATTCATAGAAGTTGTTTATGTCCATTATACACAGTTTGGAATGTGCTGATACATTTGAAGAAAATAATTAAAATCACTCCTTGGGACAACTAGTGTTAATACTTCAGCATGTTTATGCCCAGCTTTTTTTTTTTTATGTGAATGTCCTTTAGACTGTGTATGCTACTGAGTTTGGGGGTTGTGTTCGGACTCTTGCAAGTCTGTTTTAACAAATATTTTTTATTTGTATCAGCATAACATATGCTCATATAGAAATAAAATGGAATTGTTGCAAAAGATTTAAAAACAGAGATCACTTGACTCACCCATTTAACCTCCTTCTTGTGCTCAATTTGATTTTCTGCTGTTTCTTCAGCTGCATATGTTCCTGTCTCTCAGTAATATTCTTACCCTGCCATTTCCTGAATAATCAGTCTTAGGCATTACTCACTGATGTGCTGATGTGATCGATGAGGGGTCCAGCTCTCCTCTTCTGGCTCTGCTGGCCTCTCCTCTAGGGGCCCCCTGGCCTGTTATCTCCTGTGGTAGCACTGGCATTCTCTGGGGTCTTCATTTTCCTCTCAAGCATGGATTTCACCTGGCATGGGCCATTCCATCATGTGGGTTCATTTACTCTCTCATGGCATGTGTTTCCTACGGCCAATGTGTACCAGGCACTTAGCTAGGTTTAGCAGCAAACCAAACAGATGCAGTCCCTGCCACCAGAAGCCCTCATTCTAGCAAGGGGGGGGCAGGACAGGAGTGAGTGACTCAGTCACATGTCAGGTTCCAGCAGCTGGGAGAAAAATGGAGCAGAGCAGAAAGGAGGGCCTGTTGAGGGGCAGCATCTGAGCAGTGACATCAGGCGAGGGACTGGCCAGCACCGCTAGTGTGATGGCACTCGCAGGAGGGGACAGGTGAAGGAGAGGTCTAAGGAGATGGGGCCAGGGAGCAAAGGGGCCCAGGCAGCCATAGGTATGGGGTTCTTGAAAAGACTTTGGCTTTGACTCTGAGTGACATGGGGACTGTCTTAGTCTGCTCTGGGGCTATAGCAAAATATCCCTAAAGGACCTGCAAGTAGAGAAGACGGCTTGAAGCTCTGCGTCTGCTGCCCCACCTCAGTGTAGCCTGAGTATCCTCATGCAGGAGTCACAAGGAGCCTCTGCTGACCCTGGAATTGCCGAACCAAGGAGAGAACATTCCTAAAGCTTTATGTTTCGTCAGCTTGCTTCCCCCAACATTGATTAGTTCTGCCCAGTTCTCTTCACGAAGAGTCGACTTCACCTCCAAAAGCCCCTGCTCAACATCCTGGTGAGAAAATCACGGCAAGGGTGAAGAGGAGAAAGGTGCTTGGAGACGGGGATCAACCATGGTGGACTGGGAATCGTGGATGCAGGGGTGTCACCATCCCTGCGGCACGCACCCCTGCACCGGCCACCTCCTGCCCTGTCTCGGCAGTGTGCAGTCTGTTTTCTGGGAATTCAGTGGGATCAACCCCCTAAATTGGCCTAGGAGGATGCACCTGGCCAAGAAGCTAACACCTGAGTTTAGACAAATCAGAAAAGTGTACATTTACCAGGAGGACAGGTAAATCCTTGAGCAAATGATTTCTGGGCTGGAAGGGCAGCGTGAAACTGCAAGGAACATGACATGGCAGGAGGGGAGGGAATGACCACAGAGCATGTGGTTCTGGTCATAGTGAATAACAGAGTAGGTGTGCATTTTCTTTTGTCCCATTTATTTGCCAGTGGAGCAGGAGGTGGTGGCAGAGACAGACCACCTGGGTCCTGCAGTCTTGGCTGCAAAGTTTAGGTCCCTTTGTCTGAATAAAGAAGAATCGCTGACGTCTCCTGAGTGAGGGAGCAGACCAGCCTCCTCCAAGGTGGCTGCAGGGGAAGGCAGCCAGGGAAGAACCTGAGACTGTGTTCATCTTGAAGAATTCTCAAGTTTAATTCTGGCTTGTGTTTTTTTAATAGAAGGGAAACGAAGTAACAAATAATAGGAATAGTTAATGCATCATCCTTAAGCTCATTAAATATGATACCACCCATCCTTTTCCTCTGGGGAATGCACAGGAGGTAAGTAATTAAAAGGAGATTACCAAAATGTAATTAAGACAGTCAGCAACTCTCCCTGCAAAGCAGTTCACCGTGAGTAATCCCTAGCCAAACCAATCCGTTCTGAGAGAGAGAACAACTGGAATTGTAGTTAAGACACTGCGTAAGACCTTGAGTAGATTGAAAACACACAGAGTAAAGATGACAATTTTACACCTACTCATAATCCATTTCTTACATTGAGTATGCCACCAAAACTGTCTTCCAAAACTCCTGTTATTCTTATGCCTCCTCTGCCTGTCACACCAGCATGTGAAAAAGATCTGAGCTCTTCTCACAGCAGGGGCCGT